CATGTTTTGACATTTCTGAATACTGATTTTTGTTTCTAGTACAACGTTTGTTTTCAGCTAAACGATCATTCAAACACCGCTTCGTTTGTCCAATGTAACATAACCCACAGGCAAAAGGAATCTTGTAAACTACGCCCGACACACAATCAACATCTTTTTCTCTCTGTTTTTTGGTACATCCAGTTCTGGCCGAGTTGAACAGGGTCAATCGATTTAGTTTGAAATCATTTCTGAACACAGTGCTAATGCCGTAACAGTTGCCGGCTGATTTTAGATTATGAGAAATACGATGGAAGAAAGGGAGAACAACACGCCTGGCAGATTCACAAACCTTTGAACATTTCTTTCTCATATTAACCCGGTACAACAACTGTCTGAATACATAATCCTCGGGAAAACCTGCCACACTGAAACGGTTAAAAAGGCATTGGAGCGCAGAACCAATGGAGTGCGAACAAGATTTCCTAAGTGCACTATCTACTGAATTCCTGACTATGCCAGCCTTGATATTCTTCGAGTGACAACTTTTGAAAAGATGAAGCGGTTTGACTTTCTTTTTGCCATACTGCCAACATAAACCGGAACGTGTTTTTAGCTGTATATCTAGAAACTGCAGGCAGTCATTTACAGGTCTTTCTACTGAGAATTGCAGCTCTGGCGCACTTTCATAGACAAAGTTTTCTACCAACGCTGACAGTGAAGAATCGGTAGTGGGTTAAGAGATCTTCCCCCTCCCCCCTTTTGTTTGAGTTAGAACAGTACCAGTGTGGCTATTGGTCAATGTTCTCCCTGTCTTGTGTGTTCGGGAAAATGAAGTTCATTGTCCCCCTTTTTCATTCCTTTTAGTTTTCCGGACACCTGTGCCCTATAAAACCACAATACTGTATTCTGTCCAATAAATTTCAGCTGTGTTTGAGACTTTGTGTTGTGTTGTCCTTTTTTCCCCCAGTCTCGAGGTTTTGTCCAATATGTTAAACTTTCACCAGCTTGTTCGTGCCCTAACTTTTTGTTCCAAAATAATCCTATTTTACAGCGAAGCTGTATATGACTCACAGGTCAGATTTCTGAAATTTTTTCGTGTTGTCGTCCTCACAGAAAAAAACCCTTCAGCGATTGAAGTGAAAAGTGTGTATCATACAAAATACAGATCAGCATTAGTTTCCCTAGCAAAAATTCCCATAGAGAATTCCCATAGCCTATCGGTTTATTGACACCTATGGGTGTATCGGCCTATAGGCGTATGGGCCTATAGGCGTATGGGCCTATAGGCGTACGGGCCTATAGGCGTACGGGCCTATAGGCGTACGGGCCTATAGGCGTACGGGCCTATAGGCGTACGGGCCTATAGGCGTATGGGCCTATTGGCGTATGGGCCTATTGGTGAATGGGCCTATTTGTGCATTGGCATATAGGCCATCCGCATGAGCACACAGGGTATGGTGGTGCCTTTATACATTTTATTATGCAAAAAAGGGTCTTGGGGTACACTTGCTCCTGTTATGAGGGCATCTTGACGCTGAACACTGTCACAAACCGAGTCTTGAAGGTGCCAGAGCGTAAGGGCATACTTCTTGCTTGAAATCCTGAAATGAGCAGCAGAACAAACAAAAAGAGTTAATCGGCGGCGTGACAAAGGTGGAGGATGATGTCACCACAGAAAGTGATTAAGGCTAAAGCCATTCGATAGATGACTCGAGCATTTTAAATTTCAGACTAAAGAAAATAAAATTAAGAGGCTGGATTTTCTTTGTTTTCTGTCTTCATCATGAGCCTAACTGCCTTCAAAACTTATTAAGCATCAACCTTCTGAAGAACGTTGAAATTAAATAATGTAAAATTAATATCAGCTTTGTTTGTGGGATTCCTAACAACGCTTCATTTAGTTCGGTCAACAAATACATAGTAGGTATATAAACTCAGATTAATTCGGGAAAGTCAGGGGATCGAAGTTTGCACTGTTTGGCTTAACAGTACCATCCAGTCCACTTGCATAACTTCAAAACTAGTCGCATGCTGTCACGCGTTTTATAAAGATGGCTATTTTCGAACCATTTTGACTGCAAAGGTCAAAGGTCGGCTCTGCATGAACCGAATACTATGGAAAACTTTTCAAATGAAATTAAGTATGATCAATGTAATCAATTTATAGTGGGACCACTTCAGTCCACTGCTAGACCAGTAAGACATTTTCTAAAGAAACGCATTGAAGGTAGCATTAAGGAATTTAGTAAGTGTGCTCTGTTGACATAAGCTACACTTTCTCGGACCACACCCGGAATGAGTGACAACTTTTCTCTATGCGACGCGCAGTTCCAAACATAAGAACAGGCAAACAAGCACAACTAGTTAAAAAAATAGCTTAACAAGCAAAAGTGAGCCGAGAAAATAGGGAGCTTTAGAATAACGGGCGCTAATTTATCTCGCATTACGGACGGCAAAAGCGTTTCTCTGCCGGGGACCCAAAACGCAAGCATCTCACACTTAAAGCGCCACCAAGATGTTACAATAGCTTTTATTTTGAAGTTAGAATGTTATATCTTTAAAATTAAACAAGCTTATCGTCTGGAATAACATTTTTATAGTTGTTTTATACTCAATGCCGCATGTTTCTGTCACTGTCAAGCTGCTCCGTTGCACTTCCGAGGCCACGCCGATCCACAACCCCGGCATATTTACATTTCTGCCGCGATCGCAAGTACACGCGCTTTGATAGCTTTGAGCTCTGAATCCAACGGTATATGACATTTTCTGTACGCTATGGATATACCAACCGCGGTCGCCAAGTGCGACTCATGCAGTCCGAAGCGGGCGGCGGGCGTCGAAGACGCGATCGACGGAATGTCGTGGGCGCCGCCATTTTCGGTATCCGCGCTATTTCCGAGAAATAACGGGCCCCAAAGCCCAAGCCCCAATGCTCGTTTTGGGTCTGCGCATTCGCACTAGCGACGACGTTATTTATTCGAGGTTGCGGACGTCGTTCTGAAACTCCCTAATGTTCAAACTTCCACGCGTCTACAACGCAAACAAAGACCAAAAGCATACTTACCAAGTGTGTTGAGGTGCTCGCTAGACTGTCGCGTCGTGGGTCTTCCAAGCTCTTTTTGACCATATTCAACATAAGAGGAGACTTCACAGATAGGTAAACTTGAATAAATGAGCACATTTCCATGTCTAAAAGCATTTTCGTCCCCTGACAGAAACACACCCGACGCACGACAAAACAATGTCGGGGGAAAAAAAAAAAAGTGTGGTGTCGCTAGCGATGGGGTGCTGTAACTAGTACGAGCTCGATAGGAATAGATAACTGGGCAAGTTGGTGAGAATTCATGTTGAGAGACAGCGCGACCGGGACGAGGACAAAAAGACGAAGAGAACACAGGACAGGCGCTTTCCTGTGTTCTCTTCGTCTTTTTGTCCTCGTCCCAGCCATGCTGTTTTTCAACAATATGAGCTCCTTACAAAATCGAAACCGAAACTGGCCAAATCGCGATGGAGGATGCCATAAAAATGTCTTTACAAACTTAATTATTGTTATAAGCACATAAAATAAATGTGTAAATCATGACTAGTACCGACTTGCCATTTGTTTTGGGTGAAATGGAGTAGGAAGTAGATTTTTTTGTTTCAACCCATCAAGATATTTTCTTTATTTTTCGTGGAGATTACTTTTATTTACACTTTCCTTACAGTATTTTATTAGTAAATTATTTTGACGCACCAGGGTCCCAAGTTTTATTTAGAATATTGCCCTAAAATTTATTCAGAAAATCAAGCATTTCATTGTGCTATTTTCCTCTAAATTGTGCATGACTGTTTGTGAGTCTCTTATTGTAGCATTATTTCAAGCTACAAAATTATATGAATTTTTATAACCCATTGATTTACAATGATGTTGTGTTATGTAACCTGGGCTTTAACCATTTTTGCCATTCGAAAATATTGAGGAAAAAAAAAGCGTAACATAATTAACTTGACTGATGTAGTTTTATGCATGCTGTTCTAAAGTGGACACATTTTTTTGCACTTGGAATAGATATTTGCATCACAGAGCCCAGGTTACATAACACATGCATCAAATGGGCTGGTGTATTTCTGACACGGACTATTCTGACAGACATATGTCTAATTTATTCCTATTGCTCAAATATTGACATGCACAATTGGTACATTCCTATTGAATGATTCGAGGTTTCCACTAGTCAAGGAAACATTCCTATTTGGCCAACAAAACTTTTGGTTTAACTGATGAAGATTCCTAACCGTCCAATAAAGTCCTTATGGGACCAGTCTAAGTTTCTATGGGGCCAATAGGAATGCCTATTGGACCGATCGAAATTTCTATAGGCCCAATAGGCATTCCTATGGGACCGGTACACACTCCTATGGGACCGATACACACTCTTATGGGACCGATACACACTCCTATGGGATTGATAGACACTCCTATGGGACCGATACACACTCCTATGGGACCGATACACACTCTTATGGGACTGATACACACTCCTATGGGACCAATAAAACTTCCTATGGGACCAATACGCACTCCTATGGGACCGATACACATTTCCTATGGGACCAATTCAACTTCCTATGGGACCGATACAAATTTTTATGGGACCGATACAGATTTTTATGGGACCAATAGAAATTCCTATCGGACCGATAGAAATCTCTATTGGTCCGATACAAATCTCTATCGGAATTTTTGCTAGGGTTCAATAAAAAACAAGCACAAAACAACAAGCGTTCACTGCATACGTTTCCCGGTAAAGGTTACTGTCGCGCAAGCTGCTGCGGTGACGGCACCTTGCGACGTGGGGAGCGACGTCACTAGCCTTTCGTACATAAAAAGTTTTGGTACAGTGTATTTACTTTTCTTTTGTCAATGATTAGGTATAGACACTTTTGCCAGAGAAACGGGCCCGTACCCGAGCCTGCGTAGTGCCAGGAGGGACCGCAGGGTGATGCTCTTAGGTCCCCCTGGACGCTCTCTGCAGGCTGCTGATGGAGAACAAGCTGCGCCAGGTGCGCCCCAAGATGTTCTCGGGCCTGAGCAGCCTGCGGACGCTGTAAGTGCACCCTCTCCGCACGGCTCTGCCATGGTCCACCTCCATGGCTTTCTTCCAGGATGCTGCGCTCCAACCAGCTCAGCTTCATCGCCAACGACACCTTTGCAGATTTGACCACTGTGCGTCTCCTGTGAGTCTCCTTTCACAACCTCGCTTCAAGTTCCAGTGAGGCGCAGTTGCTTAGGCAGAGAGTATCCCAGTTCAACAACAAAGCAAAGATGCGCTTTCATTGGCCCCCTGGGGCATTTTTTTTAGGGAGTGTTTTTACGTATATAGTACTTTGTTTGATTACATCTCTACCTGATGCGCCTCCTAATAGGAAGGTGGCCTTCTTCTACGGAACACTACTGCAGACTATGGTGTTTAATGGGTTCTTGAAGGCCAGATTCTTTTTGTCCCATTATACTGCCTTTATATCTGCGATGTCGATTCACAAGATTCCAGCTGTTGAAGTGGTGTCTTAAGGCCTGTTCACACTCTTGCGACCTCTTAAAACTGGGTTCCTTAAAACCTCTTACGAGAGGACACACTGGCGCCATCTATTGGGTAGCAGTGTAAACTTGGCGGTCCGGCATATTTTCTATTTCTCTCGTGCATTACCCTTTCTTTCTTGGTTCAAAAACTTTTGTCAACGTTATAAATGAGCCTTTCTCATAGGTATTACGCACATTTGACCTCGGAAATCCCGCAAAACCTTCGCTCTTGTGAAATGCAGTTCCAGGGTCACCACATAGATGGTGCCAGCGTGCCAGTGTGTTCTCTCGTCCTAAGAAATTTTAAGAAGTTTTAACAGATCTCGTTACTCTCTGTCATACTCGGTTGCAAGAGTGTGAACGGGCCTTTAGAATGACTCTTTTCAAAACTTGGTCAAAACATATTTTTTTACACGAGTCCCTCGGGTAGCTAGGTTAGTATGGTAGCACAGAGCATTGTGAGTTTGCTATACCAAGAACTTAGTGCAGCCTGTCCCACCTATCGACTTCCCCATTCTTGTTGGCTGCGAGCAATTAAGTAAAATTAAAGTCTTTTGAGTCCTCTAACATGACAGTCCTCCTTCCTTTCTTTGTGATGAATGAAAAAAGTGGAAGGGAAAATTTTTCGGGCCCACTGAAGGAGATTTTGCAGCTTGGCCTTTTAACAGTTGATTTTGGTTGTATATTAACGCAGGTGTTTTTTAATGTGACTCGATTTCACTTGGAGTAGGACAAAAAGACATTTGGGAGTACGGGCCATTGTGGCGATGTGATTTCGGGGCCGTAGTGACATAACAGTGATGGTGAGGAAGAAAAAGTAGATGATGATGAAAGCAGACGGGTGGTTCGGTGGCCGAAGAAAAGTAGTAAAAAAAGAAGTAGAGAAAGTGGACTGGTCCTGAATCAAGAGGACTTCCACCAGAGCCCACTGGGAGTTTGAAGACCAGTTACATGCCTGAAGTTTTGGGCCCTGTGCCCTTGACGATGCCTGGAAGTCTTCTTGATCCAGGACCGTTCCACTTCCTTCTTCTATTGCTTCCCTTTCTGCACCGAACCACGCACCGGCTTTCATCTTCTTCTCGTTCCACGCTGTCACTGTTACCTCACTGCCGCTGCAGAAATTGATGCATCACCCTAGACATTAATGTAGTGTAGTCGTTTTGCCAAAGTTGCAACTTTCTGGCACGTCTGTGCGCAGGTCTCTGTACGACAACAAGATACGCTGCCTGGCTCAGAGCGCCTTTGAGCGGCTCACCTCCCTGAGAACCCTGTGAGTGTCCGGTGGCCGTGCTCACGGGTGGCCGTACTCAGCAACACTCGTGCAGGAACCTGCTGGGGAATCCACTGCATTGTGGTTGCCACCTGCGCTGGCTGGCGGACTGGCTGCGCGGGGGAGACAAGGTCACGGGCAAGCCTCGCTGCCAGTCTCCGGTCGCCCTGCAGGATGTGGCACTCGAAGATGTCCCTTCGAGCCAGCTGGAACACTGCTCTGGTCAGGGACCGGGATTTCCCTAGAGCTACTCAGTGCTGCCAGAGTACTGCAGTCTTTGGTGCCCGCTTGACTTGAAAAATTGAGCCAATTGAGCATTCTCATGATGTGTTTTTGTCTTAACTTTTGAAAAAAAAAACATGCATTTAACAACAAAAAAAAACACAGCTGGTTGGAAGGTTCTGGGCATGTTGGTTTGTGCCATCAAGGTGCGCATAGTGTAATCTGCCGAAGGAGAATGGCGTCTTGTTTTCCTGCTCACGAGCAGGCTCTGCAGGGTTCACCTGCCCAGTTTGATTGGTCTCACGGGGCGTCCATATTGTGGGTGTCGATTCAAGCATCGCGACGCAGCTCTGAACCGAAGTGTGAGAGCTTCGGTACTCTGGGGACATTCAGTGGCTCTGGATTTGCCTAGACAGTCGTAGAATGGTTACACGGTGGTGCAGTTTCATAGCAAAACATTGGGCTTGTAACTGTTGAGTGTGTAGCGCAAGTCTTTGCACACCATTCAGAGGGGTCCTGTCCCTGATGTACAATGCACAATTTTGGCTCTCATAGAGGTTACATTCGAGTGGATGATGAGTCAAAAAATAATGGAGGTGACTAGGTGAGGCCGTGCGGGAGTTTGAATTTTAACTCGGATTCCGTGTTTATTTCTTTTATTTCTTTTTGAATTCGAGGGGTTTTTCTTTTTGGTTTACTTTTTCCCGTGGATTTGGGTGTTGCTTTGAGCCTATTTTTGGTGTCGGCAAAAAATTAGCATTTACCGTCCCGGTGGCAGGATTGCTCAACCCCCAGAGTACTACACCTGACAATACTCGAATGGCGTTTCGATACCGACAAGAGAAGTACCTGGGGGTGTTGTTTTCGAAACAGAAAAGCAGCCTCACAGGCAGTTGAGTGTGGTTTGTGTCCTGGGTTAACAAAATAAAGCTGTAGACAAAGATTTTTTCCCATGAAGCTTTTTCTTGTTTCCCCTTTCAAGACAACTCCTAATCAGGGTTTTTGGCCTTTCCCCCCAATTCTGAGAAAACTAGCTTGCAGGCTACTTTCTGGGATCTATAAACATGGAACCCAAATTATAGTTTACCATCTCAAGTGAAAATTTATAGCTGGGACAATGGAAAATGCCTTCTCCAAACCCAAACCAAACCCAACCAAACTCCCCAAACCAAACCCAACCAAACTCCCCAAACCAAACCCAACCAAACTCCCCAAACTCCCAAAAAAACATTTTTTAAACCGCATGATTAGGCCACTTGTTTATTTATTCATTTATTTAAAATACCTCGGAGGCCTTTTGGCATTACATGAGGGGGGCTGTACAGCTTGATAAATAACGAACAAAACAAAAAATAAAGGAGTACAGATTGATTAAAAATTGACGTGCACACACTGCCAACCTATTGACAGAACAATTATACATATTAACTTGAGCTTTTAACACAAGTAAATCAAACACGAGCAGATAGACATGAAATAAATTTGACTCACGGATATATTATATCATTATCTAAAACATTTCATCTATTGAAGCATGGTTGTTAATTATGTAATGAAAATGATTACTAATTCTGAGCGGAAATTTTCTGGATCTGAAATACAAACAATGGCATTGGGAAGATTGTTCCAGAGTTTCATGGGGGATGGTAAGGAAGAGCTATTGAATGCTAATGTTGACCCGAAAATATGTCTGAAGCTCTTAGTATTAAAGTTACGTGATTCTTTATTAACGGGTTTACGGAGTGAGATAAACATGCGAGTGGCGTTGTTACAATCTGTGAATTAAGCATATGTGCGAAATTGTACACTGATTTTCTAGCAAAGAAATTCTATAATTTTGTTGCACTTTAAAAAAAATATATATATATAATTGCAGTAGTTACCTTGTGAGACATATTTTAGTCGGAGTGATTCCGATATAGAAGTCTGTTCGAAAGAATTTACGACGACTAATTTTCTATGTGGGAAGAGAGAAGTCTTTCCACATGCTTGCACCAACTTGCTTTGTTGAGGCTGTGTTTCGTGAGCATTAACCTAGCCTAAACCTAACCTAAAACTATAGGCATAAACCTAACCTAAACTTGTTATTTGCATATGTCATCATCCAGTGTTTGGTGTGCGTTTTGAGATGATCCCCTGGACACTAATTTGTGGGAGCTGAGTGAAAGCTTGTTGCTGCACCTTGTCCTGTTTCAAGACGCTGATGAAGGCTGCGGTTTCGACGAGCACTGCCCCCGTGGCTGCAGCTGCCTGGGACATGCGGTGCACTGCTCTCGTCAGCGCCTGCAGCAGCTTCCCACAAACATCCAGGCAACCACAACGGAACTGTGAGGGCCCCTTTGACACTGAGCCTTGCTTTGGGAGCTGTAGTCACTTTGAGATAGAAAGTTCGTTACATCTGGACTTTGCTGAAAGGTTGCCTTATCTGTAGCACCCGATGCATCAGTCTAGCAGTGTATGGGATATGCACGTGCAATCTTTGCTGTCCTAGTTTCAAAACTTTGCTCCAAGTTATCGCCATTCTTAAAGTGTGATCACCGTAAGGTGTCTTGCACTTTTTTTTTTCTGAAAATGCATTCAACTCCAAACAGATTAAAATCACACATTTTTGTTCCTCATGCCAGAAGCTGGCTTACGATAAACCTGTCTCGTTGAGCTTTCAATGACTTCTGCAAACTTTCACCTTAACATCTGAATGTTTTTTGGAATAGACCGATCTCGCCAGCCAGTTTCTTTACACCGCCTCGGCTGCAATGCATTGAGGGGGTCTTTCTGCATGTCGGTCAACCTTGCTGAAGTGCTGCGCGTGTAGAGCATGAGACGGCACAAACTGTCTTGCGCATTGCCGCCTGCCTTCTGTGAACTAAAGTTATGGTGGTCTCACGCATGCACCGAATGCTTGGCGAGATCTGTCTATTATTTGCCTCTAAAACTTTTTACTAAGTGGCTGAAAGAAAAAAAAGAAAAAAAGAGGCTATTATCAAAATAAAAAAACTCAACATTTGAAACACCCATGTTAACAATGTTGACATTTTATTATCCTCTTTCTCTTTATGCCCTTTGTTTTACATTTGATCTTACTGAATGGACAGCTGATATGGATTCTTTGTATGTTTACTAGGTATACGACACAGTTAAGCATTATCTCATATGTGTCAAATTTACACGATTGTAGGGATTTTAAATCCCAAACTCGGGGTTTGACCTCTAATTGGAGCTAAACCATGCCACCCTGGACAAAGCCAAGTCAATTAACTGAGCTATCGGAAGCCCTCCGGTTTGCTTCAGTTCAAATTTCCTCCATAACTTTACCCAACGTTGCTCCATTCTGCACTTATTTTGCTACTTCTTCTCTTCCTAATTTCGACTTAGTCTGTGCGTGTAGCGTAAGCGAGTATGAAAAAGTGCAGCCAAGCAGAATGGCAACCAGTACGACAGTGCACTTTCTGTTTGGACTAAATTCACACCTATGGGCACCTAAAAATAGTTTTCTTTCTTTAAATCATTGCAAGATGCAGGAAGATTTATTTTTGCTAACAACATGTCATAGGATGGGTTTATGGATACAATTGTGTTTTTTCTTCCGCTGGCACATAATGATCTAGGGGTCAACCTACAATCGAGTCAACATACCATCGTGCAAATACCTCTGACGTGATGGAAACCGTTTTTGTTTAAGATAATTCTCAAAACCGTCGTCAAATGGCATTGCCATACATGGATCTTTGTGGACACATCCATGTAACAATTTCTGATATTTTAATGTGCAATTAATTAGCTATAAACAATGCCTCACAGTTACATTCCAATAGCATATGCTGGAAGATATGTGATTTGATGAATGAGAGAAAACGTTGGCCCTGTGGTTTTGCCCCTGGGGTGCTTAGGGCCCGAGAATACTGCTTCACAACTGTGATGTGACAGCTGCTCTTTGTTTTCTTCAGGTACCTGGATGTGAATGACATTGCAGCAATTCCTATGGAGATAAACATGCTGAAGGAGGTGACGAGGATGTAAGTACAGCTCATAGAAACCCTTGAGCACTCCTAACTAAGTAGGTGATTCACTCAAGGGTTTAAATGAAGTATTCCACAATCAGTTTTCCTAAACTCAGTATTAAGCACCCTCATAATATGGATGCTTGTGCTAGTTGGTAATTCATGCTTGGATGGAACAGCGCAGACATACAGTCACTCTCATAGGCACACGAGAAGGAAACAGACTCGCAGCGCTGCGAATCTTTTTCCTTCTTGGGTGCCTGTGAGAGTGACCGTATATCCGCGCTGTTCCATCCAAGCCTCATAATATAACAAGCTATACTTTACTAGTACATATTACAGCATGTCCACCCTCGTCTTATAATAGCACCAAATGGCATATAGTAGATGCGGCATGTTTCCGATTGCTAATGCTTTGAATTGCGTAAACTGCACCACACTGCTGGCAAATAATAAGTATGAAAGATATATGAAAGGGCCCCAGTCTGGCAGATAAGGGAACATAGTTTCTTTCTGAATACTTATTTGGCCACCTAGTCAACGACAAAAACAAAAACTGTGATAAAACTAATTACTGATGCAAATCTCGTTAATGCCTCTGTTGTGACGTATAGAGCCACTGTGTACGGCAGATTTGGCTACAGTAGGCTCGCGATAATTCAAACTCGGATATTTCATACTTTCGGTTAATTCAAACAGATTTCAAGATTTGGGCTGACCCACTGTGTTTTCAATGCATTTATAAGCCGCTTTATTTGAACGGCGTTTTTGTGTAATTCAAACTTTTTGTTCTCACAGTCCCCATTAAGCGCACTTCTTTCCGGGCACTGGTGCACTGCAGAGAAGCGTGTTTAACGGGACTAAAGCAGGGGACACGTGAACGATGAAAACGGGCATCACGCTGCAGTTTCCATGGCAGCTTGCATGAATGTTGCGACGTGGCGGCATGGCATAGCTCCACGTCACAGTGTCCATGCAACGTGCTATGGAAACTGTCGCTCAGCACCAGTTTTCATCGCTAATGTGTCCCTTGCTTAATAGTCCACAGTGGACAACTTTTTTGCTGGATGAACAAACTTAATTTTGTTTTGAGGTGTCATGTGCTGTCTGAACAGTCCACAATCAACAATATTTTTAAGAGATAAATAAACTTGTGTCATACATTTCACCAATGTTTCATGTGTAGCATACCTGCTCATGATTAGCCTTTGTAGAGGAAATCATCAAATATCTGCTTTGTATATCCGTGTAAAAAATCACAATTTTATCTTGCATCATAGGCTCTAGGTGAAAGTACTAGATGCACAACACCAGAAGCAGCTAGAAATCATGCAATGCTACAGGCTATTTTATGGCTTTAAGCACTTCGTTCATTCCAGCATATATTGATTCAAGTTTGGAACCTTGAATGGTCGTGTGAATATAAACGTGGATTGTTGAACTTGTACAGAGTGAGATGGAGTCCACCACAAACTTCATGCCTCAGGAAGGTGGTCTTTCGTTGAAGTATCGTAGGGGAGCGGTATTAGCAGACGATGCCCAATTTCTGCCCGAGCATGCTCGGCAAGCCTTGGTGCAGTCTGTTGACATGAAAACGAAGCCTGCTCCACGGTAACGCACGGACCAATTGTGGCGAAAGGCAGCACAGGGAAAAGCGTGGCATTACTTTGGCATACATACAGTGGCCCTGTTGACAGATGGTCGGACCTTGGGCAGCGGCAATCAGATCATACGAGAGAGCTAAAATTTGCGGAGAAAACTGCAATCTGCAGCCCGTCATAAAGGTTGATTTGGCTTCCATCGGGGGGGGGAATAAGGGGTGGGACTTAAGTGGTGCGAGGCCTGTGGTGTTCCTGAAAATAATTGTAACTGTGTCCCTAGCCTCCCTGCACTACTGGTATCCATTGACAAACAGGGCGGCTTTAATGCCACGGTATGTGTCCGAGCTGAAATATACAGGGGGATTTATTGGAGAGTATTGCTTTTTCTGTTTTGTCAGCCAATACTTACTACTGTTAAGGTCATGAATTGCAGCACTGTATTTTTTTTGTCAAACTCTCCACCTATACTAGTAGGAATGTGTCAAGAAAACATGACTTTTTCCTTTTGTACGCAGAATTTTGACTTGTGTTTTGTCTGTGTAGAGTACCCTCTGCCATTGAATGGACGTGTTCCTAAACCTTTGGTGTGCAGAAATAGCCTCTGCCTGAGGTGCCTGCTGTACCGTGAAATTTGTGCCATGTTTTTTTGCCCTATGTGCAGAGACCTGAGCAACAACCAGATATCCATCTTGCCAAACAACATCTTTGCCAACTTGTCCAAGTTGTCAACACTGTGAGCATGCCTTTTGCCAATGTCTGTGCATACAAATTGTACGTAGTTGTAGTTCCTAAACTTATATGTTCCCCACTTGAACCATGGACAACCCTCATCTTCATAGAAGGCTTTAGCCGCTTTGTGTTCCTACTTTTTAGGAGGCGTACAAGTCACTTCCGGCACGTGGCTTTCTTCAAAATGTTTGATTGATACTGTAGGGTTTACACAGATCTAAGACCAGCTTTTTCCCAAAGGTATAAGACACTTCTAAAGCAGTCGTCTTAGAATTGTGTACAAATAGCTCAAAGCTTGTGCTCTGAAAAAAAAAAAAAACAGGAAAAGAAGAGAGAGTCGAAGCAATAGGACATGGGGAATGAAAACATCTTGAAATCCAGCTGCGGGAAAAGACTCAAACGTCCGAAACCCACTGCAAAGACTAAAAGATTCTGAAAGAAAAATATATCTGTTGTACAAGCGCTGAACCAAGACAAGGAACCCCTTTGTTTGCCAGTTCTGTCATGGTAGGGAACATCCTCGCTGCGCTTCTTTTATTTTTTTTTTAAATGAAAATAATAAAGTGCTTTTTGGGAAAAGAGTTAGTTGGCACCCTCTGCAGGCACGGATATAACCCATTGTTTATTTTGTTTATTGGCTTTCAGACCTTGCTCCCTTTACAAGGCATTTGGGTAACTTAAAAGACAATAGCTCGCTTAAATAAAGCCTGGCACCACTTGCTTTGTCGAGGCTTAACCGTTAAAAAAACTTTGTTTTTCAGTATTGAGTGTTCTTAGGCGGTAGTGTTAGGTTCAAGGTTGCCTTAGATTTAGGTAAATGTAGTAGGTATGTGAGCTTGTGAGGGCATAAAGTTGTTACCAAAAAAAAGAAAGGAGACCAAGAAGTTCCAATATCAATCCTGAGATATCAAAGGAATAATATCCTGTAAAAAATTTACTTGTGGTATGGCAGTATGACCCCTTTAAAAAGGATTTGGTTCAAAAATTTGATTGCAGTGTTTACTCAGTCGGGCAGTATTTGTGCAAATACTACAGTCGAGACTGGTTATATATAACAAGATCAACAGGAATCAGAAGTGTATTTGCTTTACAACAGAACCCATTTATGGCACACTGGGAAAATAGCAAAATATTGGATATAACAAACTAATGTTTGCTTCATACCCCTGGTTGGGCTCTATTTTTCGTATGACTTAAAACCCATGTTTAACGAAAAAAGTGCCCTTTTTGCCCACAATGTGCGAAGTAAAAGTGACAGCTGTATGTTGCCGTGTGTGCGTGTCCACCTCGCGCTGTCATACGTCGGGAACTTCACGTCGCCATGTACGTGTGGCACGAGCAGCCTCTCGGTGGTGGTCAGTGTGGGCGCAAGGCCAGTTGCAAGCCGTTGAAGCCAGCTGTTCCTCCATGCTTGACCCTGGGACAAAATATGTCCTTAGTGCCATCAGGAAGAGTCTGCGGCTGTGGTGACGCTTTTTCCGGTGTTGTTGAGTGGTGAAGGGAGTGGGTTACGTTGATGTTCAGCGATAGGCGGAGATGGGGATGCATACAGACGAACGGGGCGGGTGCAAGGCGACGAGTTTTTGCAGAACATATATTACGTTTCGAGTTCGGTTCGAGAAGTAGAGGTGTTATAGTGAAATTGAACACAGTAGAAGTTTCTAAAACCCTCCAACATTACGCATAGCAGCTGGACACTGCCAAAGTAGGATTTCATATAATGTGAGAATGTTTGAAAACACCTGTTTTGCAGTAATCGTTAGCAGATGACAGGAGAAGACCCTCCACTGACGCATTCTCCTCCTCGCGCCGTTATTGGCAGGTCGTCAGAGCTCTCCTCTCTTCGCTCTTTGCACAATGCAGGCAATGGGAACATCTGACTTCTCTCTCCTTGCACCATGAGGGGGGAGAAGAAGGGTTTTTCCATCTTCGCTGCGAAGACAGACAACAAATGCTGACACCGAAATCCCTGCAAACTGTCACCCTTAAAGCTATCGCTTTAAAAAGTCGGAAGCGGGCCCGTGGATGCAACAAAGCAAAAATTCCAAGAGTTGAGAAAATTTATGGTGAACATGGCGGAAACTAGGGCAAAAATTCTAAAAAATAAATACATATTGTAGTTTTCCGTGCTATCACACTGGACAGTGGTGTTAAGCTGCACCAATTGGCTCTTTCCGGGAAACTTCGGGCTGCTGTATGCTCCACGAGTTTTGCTTTGTCTCATCACATGTCAAGAGTTCAGCTGTCTTCATATTGTGGCGGACGACAAGAGCAACTGGCAAAGAGCACGTATGAAGCATAGGGTTGCCACCTGCCCAGTTTTTGACCAGCACAACCGTTTTCTTGTTTTTTTTTTTTTTTTATAAAAGGCCGGTTGTTGGTTTGTATCTAAAACCGGCCTTTATTTGCCAGTTTTTTTCAACTATCCAAGCACAATTTTCCTTTTTTTTTTTTGGGGGGGGGGAGGGGTTATAAATATATTTTAGATCATCAACGTTATCGGGTTTATAGGTATATCCATATTCTATCTTGGTGCGTGGAATTGTTTATTTAGTCACAAATAAGACATAATTTTCGTAAAAGTCTGGCGCGTTTACTTTCACCGATTTACCAAAAAGATCAGAGAATGGCGAGCAAGACATCACTTTGAATCCGAGGACACTGTCCTTTTGCAATTCATAAGATTTGAGAGGTATGAAAACAAGCTTGCTTTACAGGAATTCATGAGTGGCTGTGAGCTTTCAAGCTCGTGCCGGTGCCTGTCGTCTATACCCGCGTTCACTACAGAAAAACCTCTAGAACCAGCGATTTTTGAAAATAATAGATTTGCACTCGAAATCTGCATGCTTAGCATCATGCTCAGCATCTCAGAGCCATTTTTACTCGAAATGTTTTTTTAATTCGCAGCCATTTTTTGTGTAAACTTTAATAATAGGTTCTCCACCTGCTACACAGGATGGGTAGAGGTGTGAGATTTATTTTTTGCGCTTTCATTTTGACTAAATGGTATGCGTCTATATATGTTATTGAGTTCAGTGTTGTGTATTCATGTGCTTACATTTGCTATGGTGTATTAATAGATCTGTGTTAATTTATTTCACTTTGGGAAGCTTGTATCAAAATTAATTGAATCCGTGTATAAATTAGGTAAGGCTGTCAACAACTGCGTCTTTTTTTTTTTTTACCAGTTCAATCTCACAAAATTACCCCCCTCCTTCCCCCCTGAAATGGCTGGTTTTTCTTTTCGAGGAAAGGTGGCAAGCCTAATGAAGCAGGGCGGTAAAGACGGGGGCACATCCATAGTTTAGCCCCATGTTCCAGTAAAAAAGATTTGTCCCAAGTGAGAGCTAAAACAATACTTTCAGTGTAAGACTTGCTAATCTCTGAATGCCTGATCAAATTTTGGGGGTGCTCCAAAGTCGACTGGACAGTCTACCACAAGCCATGTCTGCCCTGTAGTATTGAAGCCATCGGTTATTTACAGAGAATAAAATGTGTTCTGCTTTTCCAGAATTTTGAGCTATAACAAGCTGCAGTGTATTCAAGGTGACAGTTTCATTGGCCTCAAGTCCCTGCGAATATTGTAAGTCTAGAACCATTTTTTTATGCACCCTACAATTTTAACATTGGAGAAAATTACATTCTACCGTAAAATACCGTGGAAGCGCCCACTTCGTTCAAGCACACACTATTAACATTTCCCAGACTTTGAAATTCTGCAAATTTTGCGTTAAAGAGACACTGATAAAATATTTATGCATGCCAAGGTTTTGATTTGAAAATAACTAACAAGAGCCCAACTACCCAGAACACAATTTACGGCTCGAAATTCTTATTCTTTACGCCCAGAAACTGCCGGTCGAGAATTGACCGGTTTCAGGCGCACTCAGTTTCTTTTCTACGGTCACGTGCCTTTCAAACTGATGCATACTAAATATATTTAAAGTCGTGGATTATTTAAGGCACACATTCACTATTAAAAATAGAAAAGATTATGAACCCCTTTTTTTGTGGCTTCCAACAAGCTGCAAATACATTTATCGAAAAAAAAAAAAGTGAAAGCCGTTTACAACTCCCTGTAATACCGAATTAGAGCGCAGCTCTTGAGGAGGAGGAGGGACGGGTACGGGGGGGGGGGGTGAAGTAACCTGGGGGAGGGGTCATGTGACCCTGGGGGGTCACGTGACCTTGGGGTCACGGGACCTTGGGGTGACCTTGGGGGTCACGTGACGATGCTGATGCAGACTCCGATGACGTCATCAGCGATGATGACGATGACAATGCGAATGTCAGTGACGTCATCAGTGACGTCACTGATGACGTCATTCGTGATGATGACGATGACGATGCGGATGCCGGTGACGTCATCAGTGATGATGATGATGCGGATGCCGGTGAGGTCATCAGTGACTGATGACGTCATCAGTGATGATGACGTCATCGGGGAGGTCACGTGACCTCGGGGGGTGTCATGTGACTTCGGGGGGGGAGGGGGGGGGGGTCACGTGACCTCGGGGTCACGTGACTTTGGGTGGCACGTTACCTTGGGGGTCACGTGACCCTGGGGGAGGGGTCACCTGACCTTGGGGTGACCTTGGGATGACCTTGGGGGTCGCGTGACCTTGGGGTGCCCTTGGTTACGCCGACACCGACGCCGCTCAAGCCCGGAACGGGCCCCTAAGAGCTGCGCTCTAAAATGTTGCACAGATCATAGGAAGTGCATGTACATGTCATTCTCATTATGGCGAAATACCGCGGGCTGGATGACGCTATGGTGGCGCACGATGGACCTACGTTGCGACGGACGTGGGACCGCTACTTTGGAACTCGTTCGTAGTACCGGCCAATCAATCTTCAAGCACAGAACAGTGAGGGGAAGGGATGTAAGTGCGAAACAATCACACAACAAACGGTGTATGCAACGTCCTTGTTCTCGTCGTCTGCTTCACACGCCCGAGAAGCAGAGGAACGGAAAAACACTGGGTAGAGATTGATAAAAAATTGCACCAAAATTAATTGGGGGGGCTAGTTGGTTGAACATCTCGACGGTGGTTTAAAAAGCAAGCGCAAAGGACTAAGAAGAGAAGTGCTCTTTCCTGTCCCCTCCTTCTCTTCTTAGTCCTTTCCGCTTTTTAAACCATCGTAGCCACGTGACCTGCAGCAACTCTCTCCTCCCAGCCTCCGTACACAGGTTTCGGTTTCAAGCAGTTGCATTTTTTTACTTTATTAAAAATATATGTGACACTGTAACAAAATATTGATTGGCTAGTCTTCTGACACAAGTGCTTATGTCTAGATTAACCCAGCTTTCAATGAAAGTGGGATGGGCGCTCCCCCAATATTTTACGGTGGTTACATTCTCGGGAGAACTGTAATGTTTTTATTAACCAGGTTTAGAAGCAAGTGTCAATCAAAACTTGAATGATGGGATTTGTGTCGTGGCCGACGTCACTGGTACGGTTTGTTCCGTGTAGATATTATATGCTAGTTGTGAAGCATTTGGCCATTTAGGTATTAATGTGATGTAGCCATTAGTAATTAGTAAAAAGAACTGATGGCAGTGTTACAGGCACCTCTTGCTTTGGAAATATGTGTTTAACTGTGAAAAGTTGTTTTTGGTTCTGAAGATAATCAGAATATTGAGTTGCATATTTTTAAATGCACTGGTTTGTTTGCTGTGCCTTGACTTGTACTTCTAATGGATTGAGTTCAGTCAAACATGCAGATAAAGTGGTGCTAAGCAATACTTGCACTATTTGAGGAGGCATTTATGGCTTTTCGCTAATAACAGGCTTGCTTGTTTTTGCCATAAACTCAAACTACTTGGAATCTACGAAATCAGCCCAAGCCTCCATTCAAATTTCCTCACGATTTATTCACTGGTCGTAGAATGGAACATTGTGAGCAGTGGGTGAACTCATACTAAATATTTAACTTGTTTTCGAGAAGCTATATAAACGCGAGTTCTCATTTCGTTTTTTTCAATGAAGATTTTTTATAAAGAGAATTTCTTTTTTCAATTTTTATTAATTTTTTTTGAACATTTCCATACTGTAGTTTCGGTTTCAAAGTAGGTTTGAGCTTGATCACAAGCTAATGTGCTTTAATAAATAGTCCTGGGAACGGTGGTTGCACAATTGTTTAACACGGCTAACTGCTTGCATCAGTTTTCGTAACAAAGATAGCATTATTTACATAATTCAACTGTATTGTGGCATATTTTTAGACGTCAAGAGCTCTGAAGACACTTTAAATGATGTTACAGGCATCACTTAACAGATGGTTGTCACTAAGCATCACTATAATTTCCAATGCTGTCTTGAGCCAACGTGCACATTTTATGTTCCCAACAAGGTGGACAGAAATGCTAAATATGAAGAAACTGCAGTCAAGACTATGACAAAACCAAGATAGAACACAAAGAAAGCATTCTGCTGGGGATGTGAGGTGTACTATCTGTGTTTTACCAATATAAGCATTCCTTTGCTGAAAAGCACATGTGTTATGGAGGCTAACTCTCCAACAAATAAAAAATAGACAACGTCAGTTAGAGTACACTAACTTTGAGAAGTAGTAGCCGTGGGTGTGGGGCACATTTTGTATATTCGGAATTTTTTTTATTTGTCGTTTAGTAATTCGACATAGCTGTAGAAGTTTTTGCGTTTATACGCCTTCTGCACATACATTGTATTTTCAAAAAATTATGTTTTAAAATCTTTTCCCCACATTATACCAATCTCTGTTTCTTTTAAAAGAACAACCAATTGGCCACACTTTGATGTCTCATATTTCTGCATATGCAAATTAGCTAGGAAAATAAAAGTGGTTGCACGGATCCTTCGAAAATTGCTGCTTTTCCCGTGGTCAGGAAAGAGTTAATAAAGTTCCTTTTCAGTCAGGAAAATAAAAAAACAATCGCAGGTGGCAAGGTTCGGGAAGTACTACTATGGAAGGTGGGAAAATTTATTAATCCCATTTTGATCAGTTTCCAATTAATCCTTCAGTTCACAGCACACGTCCAAGCGGTTGACTCTCTGATCCTCGGGGAGCAAACAGGGCACAAATTTTGCACTCACTCGTTTCAGGTGAAGTTCTTCTGTCAGAATCCATTGACATAAACTCGCCTAGGAATTCCAGTCAATGCTAACAACTCATCAATTGTTCGATAGCGACCAAACATTACTGCATCACAAATTTTTGTAAGGTTTTGTTTGGTTCTCCTAGTCGAAGGACTCCCAGGTCTATTGGTCTTCAAGCGACATGTTGTCACGTTGGGATCAAGAAAATCCTTCGAAAATCCTTGCTTGGCTCAAAGCTGTTGTTTGAAAAGCCTCTCAAAACATTGTGACAGTTTCTGCTGCAGTTTTCTCCCAAAGGAAACAGAACTTGATGCACACACATTGTTCATTCACGTTTGCCATCACAAAATGGATGAAGACGGTAACAGAGGCTTGAGAAAATCAACACACTGATGTAATAAACCTTTTTCCAACGACGCCTCATGGCCAACTGATGCAGAGGGTAGTGTAGAACATGTGCCGGCAAATATTAGTACTAATGCCCACCCCACCTCTATAACGAAATTCTCATTCTTTTTCGGTTCCCCCCATACACTGCATGATGCAGTTAGTGCTAATGTGACATTAGCACTATTTACAATTCTAAAAGAAAAAAAAAACTGGCTATTGCTTGTTGTTGTTATACTCTGTCTTATCCTACGATGGGCTAAAGCCCAATACTACAGGCCACCGGGTCCAGTCACGAGCTTGTTAGAAACCACATGATATATTTGCTCCGTCGTACGTATCAGTGCACCAAGACGCGTCGTGCGGAGGCTTATCGAAGCCTCGCATTGGCTCCGTCTACTTGCTACTACTGATGACTACTGAAGCGATTAAATACTGTCTGGAAGCAATGTGGCGAAGAGAGCCCAGTATCAGAACCAGCGGCCATTAAGAAATTAAGATGAGTCAGATCGAGTGTTTGACATGGGAGCGTATGTAGTTGCGAAAGTGAGATACGGGTCTATGTACGGTACACAAAGATGGATTGGATTGGATTGTCACGGCCAAGGTGAAACGGCTTTATGTAAGTGTTGCCTGCGCACCCTCCATCTCCTCCAAACAGTTGACATGCTTACAAAATATGGCATATAAATGTTTATGAAACTTAGTACCATGTAGGTTAACTTCACCAATATAAAATACCACCCTATCACAACAGAAAACCATATGTGTACGATTAGTGCTCTTCGTATCAGAATTTCTCTCGCACACTCTTTTGCAATGCGGTGCAAGCTTTTCTGCGGTATAGTCAGTATAGTGCTCCACCTGCCAGCCTTCGGACCCTAGTCCATCATAGGGTGAGACGAAGTATAGCTGTGTTGTTCTCTGGGGTTTTTCAGTCGAGGAAAAATTTGAATGTGGCTGAACGACACGTCGATTCATTGCTGTGAGCCAAACACTTGCACCACATTGTCTTCTCGGCTCTTCTATTGAAAGACTAAAGAAGGGTCCTTCAGGGTGCTAGCTCTCCCAATTGTGTGCTGCATTCTTCTTGCTCTTTGGGCCTGAGATCGGCCAGTGATCTGGTAAAATGCCAGGGTGCATTTTCTGAATGGATGCATGGAATTCAGGTCCCTGCATGGAAATGACGTGTCCCTGATCCCGGAGGGCACCTTTCGAGACCTGCAGTCCATCACCCACATGTGAGTGCTCAGCGGGCCCCGTGAGCTCGAGCTGACTGGCGTGCCGTGCAGAGCGCTGGGCGCCAACCCACTCTACTGCGACTGCACCCTGCGCTGGCTCTCGGACTGGATCAAGAAGGACTACATTGAGCCCGGCATCGCACGCTGCTCGGAGCCTCGGTCCATGAAGGACAAGCTGGTTCTCACGGCCCCCTCCAACCACTTTGTGTGTGTGGGTGAGTTGATGAACTTATTGGAGATTATGTCCTTGTTTTCTGCTCTCGCGGAGGCCCAGAGTTGATACATATTCTGAGAAAGCTTGATCACAGCAAATGGCGGCATTGCAGGGGTTGTCAAACTTTTCAACTTCGAGGAACTCGTACCTGCTCTGAAGAGCAGCTAAGGAACTCCTCCCAGTCTTGGCACATTGATGTAGTAAAGCTGCATGCAGAAGCCTACGGACCTTGTAAACAATAATGCATGTATTAGGTAGTATTTACTCGTTGCTACGCATCAGTGGGTGGCCCGGACGTGCTAAAATAGTCTTGAACTAGAACTTATGGGCAGGGATTGTCGAGGAAATTTGGAATCTATGAGGGTACCCTGGGGTACCCAGTTTGAAAACCCATAGATTTTGGACCGCATTTTCTTATTCTAGATAATGCATGTGACATCTCATGGAACACAGCATAGAATATGCCAAGATATTGTAAATACTATGTGCTGTCTTGTTATTTGTTTTGATTGCCAGGAGATGGAATCTCAAGATGATGTCACAGCCCAGAAAGCGCAAGTGTGGCAGCAGTCAACTGAGGCAACAAAGTCGCGATCGTGCCCAAGTGTTTTGAGCTTACGTGACTGCTGTTATAGTTGCGCTTTCTGGTCTGTAATGTCATCCCAAGATCCAGTTGTCCACAAGCAAAACCAAAACCACTGAGTAAATAATACCGTGATAATAAAGTATTTACAGCATTCTGGTGTATTCTTGGTTGCGTTCCATGATCAGGGCTACTATATGTATTAGAATAAAAAAACACTTTCAGCCTTTCCACTCTGGTGAGGAAGGAAGAGCAGCGGAGCTGTAGCTTCTATTCTCGGCGGTGGCTTTCGAGGCGAGCAATCTGCTCTTCTTTCGCAAGGGAATCTGAAGCTCTCGACGCAGTGGAACTTTAGGCGACAGCGGCCTCGCGGAAGTTGTGGAACCATTCACACTGCTGCGCACATCACCGCTCATTCCGTTCTTCTTCCTCCGAAAAAATGTTGCCGCGATCTATGAGCGACGGCGGCAAGCAGACGACCGGCAAACACAACACTCTGGACAGCTACCGCCATCTATGAGCGACGGCGGCAACCAGAGTGTTGTGTCGACATTTGTTTGGTACCGGACACGATCCCGGGGAAACTAACGAACAGCTCCGCTGTAAAAACACAACCCAAAAATATGATGTCTTTAGTCCTTTTTTAAAGGGATGCTCGAATGAAGATAAAGATACACTGTAGAGGGCAAGTTCAAAAATTATGTTGAATATTGGGATCTTTTTTGGCCGTAAATGCATCAGACCCATTCATAAAAAAAAATTGGGAATAGCAAATATTAAGATATAATAAACTAATGTTTGTTTCACTCTCCTGGTTTTATACTTCCAATGTAAAACCCATTTTTAGCAATGGAGAACCTCGAAGCAGGATTGCAGATATAACATAGTCAAATTTGGAAAAAGTTGAATAAATATTTGGTGAGAATGCTCAAAAACAAAAATGCCTGAAGTTGAAAAATATACCTAAAACCTTGCTGTTGCTCGATATCATCATGATGTGCTGTTCCATGTGGCACTGGACAACTTTTTTCGGAAAGATTCATGCTGCTTTGCCATCAACAGGTTCAGCTTTGCTGCGTCACACGTCACAGACTCAACCTTCCCAACCAAGGAACCCCTCCCGGTCTCGGCATTGATGCACTAAAACAGTGCAGTAGCCTTCAAGTCTTGCAAACAATAATGCACATTTTTGGGAGTGTTTGGTCCAAAGTTATGTATCAATGGGTGGCTCAGACCTGCTTACCCTATGGGGCAGGGACCATCCCTAGGGAAAGCCGAGGGGCAAGGATGGTCGAGGAAATTCGGGAGCTCGGGGAACACACGAGGGGTACTTTGGTGAACCCCTGGGTCCCTAGGAACCTAGTTTGCAACCTGTGACTTGGAGCAAAAAATAAAGCCCAAAATCGGACGTTTTGTGCCAGTGTGAGGAGCTTGATGGCGTATGTTGAGATGCACGCCTTGCTTGGCAGACAAACCGGAGCCGGACGTCCTGGCCAAGTGCGACGCCTGCTACACCTTCCCATGCCAGAACGGTGCCAGCTGCCGCCCGGTGCCCCTGCGGGACTATGAGTGCGACTGCCCTCCGGGCTTCCACGGGCGCAACTGCCAGCACCCCGTGGACGCCTGCTACGGCAGCCCCTGCGAGAACCACGGCACCTGCAAGGTCCTGGAAGAGGGCCGCTTCAGGTGGGGGCGCCGCACCATTAGCATGTCCTGCAAACGCTCTTTGCAGGGAGGGGTCGTCAAACGAACAGGTGAACGAGAAAGGGGACGAGTGCTTAGAAAAGGACACGAAGGATACGGTTTTTCAGAAATTTAGGCTCATTTCCCGGGTGTTGTACCACACGCCAAAGCTTGCCGGGGATCCCGACAGGAGTTAATGGCAAGCTCAAGGGTGCAACTGTCAGCGTAGACAAATTTTTGTTGAGATGTCACATAGCAAATTAATGTTGATCTGTAATAAAAAGATAAGGGGTCCGAGAAGTGAGCTTTGTGGGACACCTGGTGACACAACTGCAGCACAAGGTTTGGATGAGCTATGAGCAGAAAAAACTAGATATCCTGGCCATTAAAGAGGGAAGGATTGTTTACTTGAACTTTAAACTAGCGTAAGAGTTGAGAATGAAGAACTGTGTCGAAGGGCTTAGATAAGTATGTAAAAACTATTGAGTCAACTTGGTTAGTAATTTTAAAAAGCTGACTGATATTATGCGCAAATTCAGTTAGTTGTAAAATATTACTGCCATACCCACTCTGAGCATTGTGCTAAATATCATAGAAAATATTGTCAGTTTCAGTCAACTCCACAATATGTTTGCAAATTATGAGTTCTAATAATTTGTGTAATTGGGATGTCGAGGATATTAGTTCTGACAATACATATCTGTGTTTCGAGCTTTACACAATGGAAGGACTTCTGTAACTTTTCATGACGAAGGAACTGTGGCAGTTGATGACAGTTTTTGAAAAACTGTTTAGTTCAAAAAGAGTTTTGAACAAGAAAATAATTATGGGTGTCATCAGAGCCCAAACGTTTTTTATGAACTAAATGCAAAATCGGGTTAAGAACACCCTGACCACACACAGCTACGTCACCAATATTTGTGAAATGTGAATCATTAGTGATAGAAAGAATTTCAAGTTTATCTGGCATAAACACCAACTGGAAGTATGTATTAACTGCACTGGCAATTGTCAATGGTTCACTAGTTTCTATGTCATTAAAGGGGCCCTGCAAGGACTTTTTTAATGGTTTTTAATTTGCACCGAACCTGAGCGCACTGAACGTGGTAACTTAATGAAACTTTTCTTTTCTCGAATTTCACTTTATTTTTAAAGTTATAGGCAAATTAAAATTACAAAAACAAGCAAAAAATAACCTCCTTCATGACATCCTTGGTTGCTTGAGTGGCCGTGAACTAGAGGAGGGGTAGTGAGCTCAGCAAGCGCTCACGGCTGCCGCACTCCGTGTGGACGGCTCGAGAGGGCGCAACTAAAGCATGTTCTGGATAAGCTGTATGAAGCGTGCAGCCAGGGCGGCTCGCATTGCATTTGCTGCGCGATTAAACACTAATTCGGCATGACACTTCATTGGCCACAAACAACAGCAAACACGGGTTAAAGATCAGTTCAGAACAGCAGCCACTTCGCGCTGCCATACCGCCAAACGGCCAAACCGCAAACCAAACCTCCTCGCCGAAGGTTTTCAGAACGCTTGAAACCGGTCGGATCCTCAAGTCCGTATATGACCGCAGCGCCGCCGTGTACATCCAAGACCTTTTTACACTCACCGCTCGTCACCGCCTGATCCCACTACACCTTTCTAGTATGCGCCGCCTTTTCCACCGCTTGGTGGAGGGTATGTCGACTGGTCATTTCTTGTTCCCGTACTTTATAAACTGCACTTGTTTCTTTTCTGATTTAAAATACTGAACAAAAACTACTTTTATAAATAATTGAAACGGTTCGCACCACTTATATTTTGTATTTCTTATAAAAAGAAGCTTTTAGCAGCTCTGACCAGTAGTAAACCCAGGACCAAAGACTTCACATATTGCGCGCTTTCGGCACCGCGAGTCGCCCCCGTAGGTGGAGGAGGTTTCTGTGTCGTCCAATTAAAATATGGTGCACTGATATTTAGTTATTCTCTCCATGCCCGCTGGCTTGCCCGAACCCCAAGAGACGTGGAAACCGCAAGAAAGGTAGACGTTTAGATATGATTGCAGGGCCCCTTTAAGTATTAATGATTTACTGGGTGTTTCAAGGAGCGGCCAGGCTCTTTAAATCGACCGCAAAATTCGGTTTCTTAACCTATCGCGCTATGACTCTGTGCAGTGTTGCCCACAGATGGTGCGTTTTTTTTTGTAAAATTTTCAAAGAGCGAAGTTACCTGAGTAAAAAATAAAGAAAGAAAAAGGCTTAGCTCCAGTGGAAACGCAGCGAAACCACCGGTCTTCAAACAATACTGCGCCGTTTCACACGGGAGACAAGAGATGGCGCAAGCGGTCGCGACGCCAACTGCCGCCAACGAACGAGCAGACGGCAATGATAGCTCTGTGTTTAGTTTTATGCAGATACATAAAATCGCGAAATAACGCTAACTGAAAAAGCAATATTATTTTGTTTTGGCACAAAGTACTTGTGAGCCGAAAACAGGATTGTTATAATTGCGAGGAGTGCTTAAAAGTTACTGTCAGTCAATGTTTCAACTACCTTGTTGCATCACTGGAAAGGTCATATAGAAATCACGTTATCCAGAATGTATCGCATCACTTGCCACTATCGCAGTGGACTGCGTAAATTCCTGGTTGATCTTCTGTTCTTGAGGCAGAAAATATTGAAGAGAACCACACTCGCTCGCAAACGCAGAGTTACCATGTTGCCTACTCCACACCTAGCCGTAATCGCTGGTTATACTACACTGTACTATGGTAACTGCACGACTGCACATAGTCCATTTGCAATCCATAGCCCCGCCACGTTCTCGCGCGTGCGCAAATATTTGTCGAATTTTTGCCGAATCTGTGCCGAATCTTTGTCGAACTTTCCTTCAAAAGTTCGCGGCATGTGCCGAACTTTGCCAAATCTGAAGTTCGGCAGATTCGGTCCATCGCTAGTAGATATGCAACTGTGCATGGTGCATTCCAAACGTCTTTACATATAGTCACTACTTTGATTGATCCAACCATTGGGAACATCTGACTGCGGCACTAACACGAGTCCGACAGCGATACCAAGGATGAATGTGCAAACATTTAAAAAACAAAACAACTGTCAATAAAGATAGAGCTAAAATGTAGTTAAAAAGCTAGTCCAGCTACTATGTCTCTAAGCGATCTAATTTTTTTTTATTTAAAAAAATTTCCTCGACGTGTAAATGTCAGTTTGGGGACTTATGCATTCAAGTTTAAACAACCTTGGATTTTGCATGAATACGATTTGAGAAGCTTCAATTGATAAATGTTTCAAAGAGTTCTCCTGATTTATCTGGGAACAGATAAATGTTTCCGCATTTTCTCGGGTCTTCCCAGTGGCGAAGGCCTTTTCCTTGGTGTTTCCTCTCTCTCAGCAACCTTCCACTGTGTGCAGCTGTGCACTGGTGCATAGCTTTAGCCAGTTTCTTTGTCAGTTTAATCAAGACAATTTTATGTCGTTCAGGGTTTGGGCAAGTCTTAGTGGCTGATGAAAGACCAGGAGCACAGTGCAGGATGCATTTGGGCATCACCCTCTGGTATAGCTCTGAAACCCAAGTGCGCATTCCATCTTAAGGTTTATTGCAGCTTTTGCATCTGCTTCAACACATTCAATGCAAGAGTTGGCATAGATGTGTTCTAAATGTGGGCTTGCTACAGTCATAAAATGCAAATTGATTCTGAAATTCACTCTTTGCTGGATGCAGGCAGTCAGAAAGAGCAACTTAGACAGACTCGTGCTTCTAGCCTATGGTAATTTTTGCCGATATACAATGGAATAGTGTGTCAGTGTACCTGGTATTAAAACTTTCGGTAGTATTCAAACTTTCTGAATGACTTTCGTTTGAGTTACACTCGAGCTGTCGATATATGTTTGTTCACAGCAACATATGGAAACAATTGATTGAATAATTGTGCGCAGTTTTCTTGACCATTTGGTGGTGGCGTTTCTTTTGTTCATTTACTGTAGCTGCCATTGTCCTGTGGGATTTCAAGGTGATCGCTGTGAGACCAACAAAGATGACTGCTATAAAAACAAGTGTGACAACAATGCTACTTGTGTCGATGCAGTTGATGGCTACTCTTGCATTTGCAAGCCTGGCTTTGTTGGTAAGCATCATACATTACAAATTTCTTAAGTGCATTGGAACCTCCACAATTTATTCTGGAATTGACATACAGTCTAAGCTCGTTATAACAGACCTTGATTTTGACAAAGATTTCGGTCTGTTGTAAAATAAGTACATATGTTGTATGCAGATATGAAGTTGACTCAATGGTATGTAGAGAAAGACAAACTTAACTTCCCAGATCGGTATGTTATATCCAAATGCCTGTTGTAACAAAGTCTGTTGTAATGAGCATAGACTGTATTTCTCCCAAAAAAGGATCACCATGCATGAACAAAGTCCGCGTCACTTTCCTGTAGAGTGCACGGAGAGCACTGCGATTTACGAACCCAATAAAGGATGAGGCACATACTAGTATCACTTTCAGACCCAAGAAAAGAACAACATTCTTTTTTAGGTTCTGGACAGGAATGCGACAAAATGACACATAATAAAACACCATGCCAGATAACAGCACAGTCGACACAGCATGCATTAAACTAGAACTTGGTTAAACAGCACATGCATTTACATTACAGAAGGGACAGAAAAAAAGGGACAAACTGAGATGTGCCGTTTGTCTCCCCTTTATGCATAGATTATGTGGTGTTCAGACAGCGTGCTTCAAAGACATAATCGTTTGTTGCTTTGCCGTCTTGATGCCATGGTATTTCGATGCGTGCTGTTTTGGCCATGCTTTGTTGCATGCTGTTTCATCATGTGCTAATTTGCCGTGGTGCCGTTCTGAGCATATGCACACCACACTCTGTGTCCCCCAACTTACCTAAGCTGCCTTTCTTGGTCCAATGTTAGTGGTGTCTCGTGATTTGCTCCTTGATTGACTCCTCATGTACTCCAGAAAAGCAAATGCAAGGTCGGCAATCATAAGAAGGTGCAATTTTCTGTGAGAAAATACAGCCCATGGTCTTTGCCTGCGTTCCTTCTGTGTCTGCTTTCCGTAAAGGTACCGTATGTGGGTGAACTCAGTTCATGAAAATGTTGACCGATTTGCCACATTTTGGGCGTGATACGATGTAGTTGTGTTCCTAGAGCAGGGAATTTCTAGCTGTGCTGCTCGTAGCCCTAGGGGTACTTCACGAAAGCATAGTCGAATTAATTTTTGTAACGACACATGTAGATTACCTTTCAGTCGGTTTAGAACTCTTGATTCAACCTTGGTTCCCAGCATTTGAAGCTAAGCCAATTCTTCATCCTTTCTTCGTGCGAGCAAGAGCCTCTAAGAAGCGTTTGTGGTGATGGGCGGTAAAAGCTTTTGTTGGCAGAGGCTTGGCAATATTCTGGGTGCAGAGAATCTGAGTTTGCGTGAAAGGCTGTTTAGTTTCTCGTGCTTTTCTACCACATACCTTTGAACCAGCTTTCTGCGTCACATCATCGAGCAGCCAAGTATAGTGTGAAAGATTTGAGACTGCACTTAGGTAACCCTGGGCTCAAACTGTTTACACCACCACCAATTAATTAGTGAACTGTGCTTCAGAAAGCAGGAATATATGTATCCTATTGAGTCATCAAATTAATTATTGAGCATTAATATATCTTCTTAGTTGGAAACCATAAAGAATAGGCTGTCCTTTCTTTCTTTTTTTTACACAGTCAGGGTACATTAAATAACAGAAGTTTACCAAGGGACTAGGGTTGATAATTGGGCTAATTGGTAATTGTGTTTGTGTCCCTTTCTTGTCCTCATGTTTTTCGCTGAATTTGTTACCACGGGGTATGTCTCCCAAAATGTTTACAAATCACTGCCATAGAGTCATCTAAATCTAATTAATTTGTGTCATTTGTCTTGTGAGTTTGCGAGGCGACTGTAATAATACCTCGCCGGTTTGATGTAAGAGGGCATAGAGAATGAGGTTGGGGTCTTTCAGTACTCGGATTTCTGTGTGCATTTTGTTCTGTGCTTTTCCCGTGTCTTTCACGCATTGTTCACCTTGGTGTTCCAGGAACCTACTGCGAGAAGCCAATCAACTTTTGCAGCAAAGAGTTTAGCCCATGTAAAAACGGGGCCACATGCAAAGACCACAAGGGTCACTTGACGTGAGTGTGACCGTTGTTCCTCAAAAAGGGGCTCCCCAGCTCCCCCGAGAATGGTCTCGAGCATCCCAGAAAAGCCAACACACTGGCAGACGTTGAGAGTTTGAAGATTTCCCCTGAGGAATTTGAGTTTTCACCAGACGATTTGCATTTTTTTGCAGACATTTTGAAGTTTTTGCCAAACAACTTAGTGTTCTTACCGTTTTTTTTCCAGAAAATTGTGATTCTTTATATTTGCTTCATGTTTCATAACACCCTTCTTGGTGAGAAATCTCATCAAGAAAGAGGTGAGACTTCTTGGCAAGAAGCTTCTTTGTGAGAAATCTAAAAAAAAAACAGTCAGTCTGAGGGTTACAATCGACGAAATGAAGATGTTTATGGGTGAAGGACACAAGTTGAGTCAAAATGCCTTCCTGAAGCCATGCTGAGCTGACATAAAATATTTCTGGGATTTTAAGAAGCTTGCTAAGATGATTTGTTCGAGGATTTTACATAGAATGCTTGTTAGAGAAATGGGACGGTAATGAATGCTTCATGTTTGTCTCCTGCTTTATGCAACAGAACCCTTTTACTCGCCTTCCAGTATTGGGCATAGTGCCTGATTCGAGTGACTGGGAAAATAAAAAAGAATAAAAATTATAAGAAAATACTTTCTTTTTTTTTTAATTTAGAATAAATATTAACACCTGCAGATGATGAAACCTTCAGCCCATCTGTTATGTTGAAAATACCTAGTACAGCGGTTCTCAATCTTTTGGCTGTCATGGACCCCCTGACCCACCCAGAGGTCTTGTGCTATGACATAGGAGGTTTTTTTTTTTTTTAGAGCGGTTTTTGACTTAGTGTGGACACCTATGAATGCTCTCAAGGACCCCTGGGGGGTTCTGCAGACCACAGTTTGAGAACCGCTGACCTAGTACATCAGCATCAACAGAGTTCATTAGTTAAAAGTCACTCGAAGTTTTCGAGGGAACACATACAGGGTGTTTCTAAGCTTAACAGATTTCTTTACTTTGTTTGTATGATTATTTTCAGTTGGAAACTTGCTGAGCATCTTCGAAAACCACGAAATAATTAATTTTTAGAAAAAATTTGAGCATGTGGGAAGCACAGTAGTTGCCACTCGTGCAACAAGCACAAGGCTGGGGCTATGATAAGAGCTGGAAAAATAGCGCAGGTGCGTTATCGCACCGGTAGCCTTGCACCTGCTGCAGGAGTGGTAACTTTAGAGCTCCCCTGTGCTTCCCACGTGCTTCAAGTCTTTCCAATATTGACTGGTTTAGCGGTTTTTGATGACGTTCAGCAAGTTTCTAATCGAAATCATATATCTATTTTTGATAATTAGGAAGCGTTAGCACATTTTAGTTATTAGCTGGCTGATCACTATGATTAGCACCCTTTACTATGTCCCACTAATCGTATAACTCACCTGCACAAACCGCATTTGTATAGCTTTCACAATTTTTTTTCAAACAAATCTGTTAAACGCCGTATGTTAATGTGGACGGAAAATTATTTGACAAAAAGTTCATTTAGTACTGCGGCACATTCAGTGGCAGATATGGTTTGCCCATGGGCAGAGATAAGAGATAAATTCCTATTATCACTGGTTTTAACGGTGCTCCAAGATTGTTGAGAATTATTTTCTGTAGCATAGAAGCAAGTGTATTATTTTTAAAATTATACTTCATATTTTTAACTGATTTGCTATATCTGTTAGTATAACTGATAGCTTGATATGCATCCCAGCAGGCGCTTGTTGGTTCTTGTTTTGCTGTTTGGAACAGCCTTTTCTTTTTGTTTGATATCCCGTTTAGGGTTATGTTGTACCAGGGTGTGTTTGCGTGATTGAGAATTTTCTTAAATGGGATATACTTATTTGCTACAGAAGAGACGATAGATTGAAACATAGTTCAATTTGTTTCAACGGATCAATTAGGAAACCCTTCTAGATAGCCGTCCAGAAAGTGGCATAATTATTGGTTTACTGAAATAAAGTAAGCCTTACTGTAATCTCCAATACTTTTTAATGTTAGTGATGATGAGCATTTCAGCTGCTGAGAATTGTGCCAGGGCTATCTAATAGGTGGTGCCAGTGTGTTAAACTCCTGTCAATATTTTTTAATTTGGGATTACGACTGTTGTCAGCTCAGTCAGTGTCCCTGAATCAAAATAGGTATAATTTTTTTTCTCAATAGTGTGTGTAGTTTTATAAATATCACGGCTCAAAGTTTGGTTTCGGGCGTCTACGGCAAAACCGAAACTATCTGCAAGAGAGAGGGCAACACTGATCATCAGCAGTACAGCCGCGACGTGACGTCACACTGGTGCTGCGATACGCGGTACAACCAATCAACTGCAGCTCCACCACTATGTGACGTCACAAGGGTGCTGCACCAGTGTTGCTTGACTAAAAGCTAACCCGCTTGCCGCCTGCTAAAAACCAGCTGGTCGCATCTTTAAAATCGGTTTTAGTTAAGTATGCGGCCTCACTTGGACGTAATATTTCGGCCGTGATCATATTTCATGCCACTAAAGCGGTACCAGTAATTTATTTTAGTTTCGTTTTCGACCGGAGTTGCCCTTTAATTAAGAAATTGCAAGAGATCACAATGCAGTCAGTCACAGTCAAACGCAAATGTGTTTCATAACACCACTATTGTAGTCATTAGCTTTCAAACCTTGGGTATTTGAACCTCCGACAGAATTTGCAACAAGTTGAGGGATTTAAAAACTAAGGTGGAACTGGATTTTTCTGGGTGTCTGTGGGTTCTGTGTTGTCATCAGTGTGAATAACCAACTACTACCATGAGGCTAATTATAATGTAATTTGAAGTTAGCAAGCCACAGGCTATCTATCCAGGTGGTATGGAAACCTTCTGAATTGCCAAAATTTCGTCGGAAATTGATAGGAGAATGCGAAAACATCCCTTAGGTGTTGTTACTAACAGAAACATTTATTCTATTTGACCCAGTGTTGTCAGACGAGAATAAAAGCAAACAAATTGGGAGGATTATTTGGGCTGACAAATGTCACTAAAAAGGAATTCAAAGTTGAATGGACATTTGCAGGATGCCAGAAGTACCCTAACCAGAAGCCACAGAAGGATATGCACTTGGGCTAGGTGGTGATTCATAGTTTAGAGCTTAAAAGTGCTAAAAAGAAACGGACAAGTGAAAGAGACCAATACCAGAGAGCGCTACTTGCAACTGAAGTTTGCTCATGTAAAAACATATATATACTTACCGTGAAATCAAGACATGTGATGAAAGAACTGCAACATCATCACACCAATGCTTATCAATCTACCATTTACTTTTCGAAAGATTTTAAAAATGCCACCTCAGAGTCAAACAGCGCTATCGATGGAGCGCTGACACTAGACTAATAAGCATTAGTGTGATGATGTTGCAGTTCTTTCATCATGTGTCCTGATTTCATGGTGTGCATATATATGTTTTTCCACGAGTAAACTTCAGTTGCAAGTAGCGCTCTGTGGTGTTGGTCTCTTTCACTTGTCCATTGTTTTTTAGCGCTTTGAACGTCTGAATTAACCAGAAGCCGTTGAAAATGCTTCTGGTTCCATAGTGGTGTGCCGTAATGCATCGACCAGATCTGGGAGATGTCCTAGGGCACAGTGTGTTCACCTCTCGGCATGTGCACAGGTGCCACTGCGCTGTGGGCTTCACCGGCAGCAACTGCTCCACAAACGTGGATGACTGCGTGGAACATGCCTGCCTCAATGGAGCCAGCTGCCTGGACGGCATCAACGGCTACTCGTGCCTCTGTCCCCGGGGGTTCAGCGGCAAGTTGTGCGAGCTGGCACCCATGGTGTCGATGCTCTACCCGCGCACGAGCCCCTGCCAGCAACATGACTGCCAACACGGTGCTTGTTTCCAGCCGAGCGGGGTGAGCGACTATGTGTGCAAGTGTTTTCCGGGGTTCACGGGCAAGCGGTGCGAGACGGTGTCAAGTCTGAACTTCCGTGAGGACTCCTATCTCGAGTACCCCTCGCTGCAAACCAAGCCCATGGCCAACATCACCCTGAAGCTGGCCACCCGGCAGCAGCACGGCGTCATCGCCTACCACGGGGACACGCACCACCTGGCCGTGGAGCTGTTCCAGGGCCGCATCCGCGTCAGCTACGACGTGGGCAACTACCCAGTCTCCAACATGTTCAGCTTCGAGACACTGCCCGACGGGGACTACCACACGGTCAGCATCCTGCTGCTCAAGAAGAATGTCACGCTAAGCGTCGATGGCGGCGTCTCACGGAGCATTGTCAACGAGGGGCCCCGGGAATACCTCCAGGTGGCGGCGCCACTCTACATCGGAGGTCTCCCGCAAGAGGTGGCCTCCGTCGCTCTCAAGCATTGGCACCTCCGCAATGCCTCCAGTTTCCTGGGTGGGTGACCTCGAATCATTCTCGCCACTGGATCTTGCCCAGGTGCCTTTGGCACAGTTGCTTGGGCGACCACGGTCATTCGGTCAGGTGGCGGCAGTCTGCGCACATGACGACACTAGCGTATGTAACCACCGAATGTTCCCAGGGTACCACATTCAGTAGCTCCCGCTTCAACTGGACATTCGAGCTAGCCAAGCTCGATTTATCAGTCATCCTGAAGCCGGGAGAAAAAAAAAAAAAAAGCAAACAATAAAACGGGGAGCTCTGAACAGCCGATAAATGCATGCGCCTCGTCCTGTCTGCTTCCCTCCTTGTGTCCTCGTTGTTTTGGCGCCTCACTTCAAGATAAATGGAGCTTTTTCGATACGTGCAGCGCCTTCCGCCGCCTTTACGAGCACCACTAGCAATTCTGGGAACTAGCTGTATAAAACCAGCTGTAACAAATGATGAAGGCAATGCAGACGAGCGGGCGAGGCCAGGCATGCAACCCGCACTACCTTCTCTCTCTCTCTCTCTCTTCAATGCCACGCTATAGATCAGGGGTGGCCAGGCTGACCCGGCCTAGGAGCCTCAAACAAAACCACGAAACTACCAAGAGCCGCAGGGGGGGGGGGGGGGGGGGGGGCGGGCGGCGTAATTTTTATGCAGACCAATAAACAAAACTCAAACTACTTTCAATCTATCCGGGCGTAAGGTAGCAGTAGTACACAGCTACCAAACCGAAACCTATCTTTCGATTTAAAACGCGTTCCTCTTCTCTTTTTGGGGAAGTGCGGAAAGGGGGGGGGGGGTGGTAAGGGAGGGAGCCACGAGCCGCACTTTAACACACGAAGAGCCGCATGCTTCTCGCGAGCCGCAGCTTGGCCGCCCTTGCTAGAGCAAGGAGGAAAGTGTGGGACGTTTGCATATTTTGTTGCATGCAACATTTTGGGATTTTTTACCAGGTCTATTACGACCAGTTGGAGGGTGATAGGCGGCTTGGTTTTTGCCAGCATATCAAAAAGCTCATAGTCTAGTCTGCAAAAGGAGGACGATGGCCCCTTTTCACAATGGCAAGCAGGCGGTGCCAAGTCTGCCTGCCCCAAAGAGCTGCCTTTCTGTAGCCATTGATTACAGTGCCACAACACAGTATCGAAATGAAGCTCAGTAGTTGTGGTACTCTGGAAATATTCAGTGGTAACGTAATCAAGGAATGCTGACAAACTGTTTTAGTGCATAAAAGACCCAGGCAAAAATCGGTCCACTTCCAGCTGGATTATGGAACTGGAAATAAGGCAGTCCAGCTGGATTCCAGCTGGACCCACCTGGAATCCGGCTGGACCGCCTCATTTCCAGTTCCATAATCCAGCTGGAAGTGGACCGATTTTCGCCTGGGGAAGTAAATTTTGGTACTTCACTTTTTCTTGACAATAGAGAAAATGCTATTTTTGTGAATTTTTTTTATTAATTTCTTTTTTTTCCTGAGGTTTATTAGGTTTACAATATGATGCCGTAAGTAATTCCTCATGAACTCAAACTTAGCTATATTGAAATATCGGTTAAGTTGAAAGATTTCTTTGTCACTGAATGAATTCCCATAGGCACAATGCATTTACTCATCACTTATCTTGAAGAGTCTTTAGGGGGGACCTCGGATATCTCAATATCTTGTCAACAAAAATTTTACAGCAGAGCTGTTAAGGGCTAGTTTCTCCAGGATCGTGTCCGGTACCAAACAAATGTCGACAACCGTGGTCGACACAGCACTCTGGTTGCTGCCGTCGCTCATGGATGGCGGTAGCTGTCCAGAGTGTTGTGTTTGTCGGTTGTCTGCTTGCCGCCGTCGCTCCTAAATCGCGGCAACCTTTCTAGGCTCGGCAACCAGACAACTGGTTGCTGCCGTCGCTCATAGATGGCGGCAACATTTCTTCGGAGGAAGAAGAGCGGGAACAGAACGAGCGGCGATGTACGCAGCAGCGCGAATGGGTCCGCAACTGCCGCAAAGCCGTTGTCGCCTCGAGTTCCACTGTGTCGAGTGCTTCAGATTCTCTTGTGAAAGAAAAGCAGATCGCTCGCCTGGAAAGCCGCCGCCAAGAACAGAAGCTACAGCTCCGTTGCTCTTCCTTCTTCACCAGAATGGAAAGGCTGAAATTTTTTTTTTTTTTATTCTTGTTACTTTGGTTGCTCTGGTGTCCCCTTTCACTCTCTGTGGATCCTGCAGTAACGACAGCTTGGAATTATCAGTGCAGAATCTGTGTCCTACTCGTCCCTGTGTTCTTTGTGCTGTTGTTTATCCTCCACAGGGGCCAGCTCCTCTGAGAAACTAATGTGGGTTGTTTCTCCCATTTTTATTGGCGTTGCAAATTGTTCTATTGCAGGAACTTCGTTACCCGAGGTCTGGTTTTGCACTTCAGTCATTTACTTCGGCTCTTGTTGTTTTTGCCGGCCTCACGCAAGCATACTGGCTCCTTCCGTGCAGGCTGCATGAAAGAACTGTTCATCAACAACAAGCCCATGGACGTGGGCAATGCGAACAAGCAGCACCGAGTGTCGCCCGGCTGTGCCGAGTTCGACGACCCCCAACCTTGCAAGAGCCACCTGTGCAAGAGGGGCAAGTGCCTTCCAGTGGACAGGTACAACTACGAATGCAGCTGCCGCAGCGGCTGGAGCGGCCCGTTCTGCGATCAGGGTGGGTGCCATGCTTCAGAAACAGTCCCCCTTCATTTTATTCGGAAGATTATCGCACCTTGAACTGGGATTTGGGACCTAGCACTTTGACGATCGTAAAATACTGAGAGCAAGTGCCCATTCAAAAGACAATCCCGGAAAAGGTGGATGGGCACTTGTTAGGTTTGAGATCAGAAAAGCAGAAGGTGCACATGGTAGGTTGTGTCCTTGTTTGATCCGATGGAATGGTATGGGAGCAGTGCAGCGAACTGGCAGAGCCCTTCATTTTTAGAACAGCTACGCCACTCTCATCAAGCCTGCTTCGCGCCGGCACTCTTGCATCAAGCTTCACCGCTAAGCATCAGTGCATGCGGGTAAAGCATTACTGCTTTGCACGGGTTTCGAGGAGCAGCTGATGCGGAAGCACACCTCAGTTTGCTCGGTGAGCTCAAAAGTTTGCTGGAGTGGGTGCTTGATATGTCCTTTGCTTATACTTCAAATATTTAAAAAGTAGAGGGTGGGTATTTCTTGTGACATGGGCTCATGCTTGGCATTTTACAATAACTTGATTGGGACAGGAACAGGTTGAACTGGGAGGAAATAGAAGAGCAGCTAAGGCAGGAGGATTTATTGGTACACGGGTTTATTAAAATGCTTCGTAGTGATACGGAGCAACCTCCTTGTAATCCTGACTTTGTGTGAGAAGAATGCTATAGAAGGGAGGGCAGCAGGAATGGGTGGAATTGGAGCGTTCAATAAAAAAACATTGGCAAAGGACCAGGCAGGAATGCATAGGGCATTCGTCTCCAAAGGGGAGGTAGCACATGAAGAAACACTCCTCACATTTGTATACCTATGCGCAGGAACAAATGCTAAAGAAGAAAACAGGAGGATGAGAGAATGCAGCTAGGGCAAGATTGCGAGATAATTATATCCGATTCGCAACTCCAGCCTGCTGCTCGCCCTCTCGCAGACGAACAAAGAACAAGAGGAGCGGGGATTGTCGGCCTTTGTTCTACTGTTACCGCATTGTTCTGGTCGGTGTGTTCGTGCATCGTGCAGTTTTAATGCAAAAAGCGAGCGCATTACAATAGAAATTTTGTTCTGCTTCGTGACAGTGTAACATGAAGGAACTGGTATTTCTCAATTCATTAAAGACTTTTCGTAAATTGCATACGGTGCAAATTTCGGGACCTGCGGTCGCCAGTTCAATCCATACTCAATGTGATGGCAAAAGCTCCCGCTAGTAGTGCAAAGCTTTTGTGTATGATCTACGAAAAGTCTGTTCTTTCCCAAAAGTAGGAAATAACTGCTCGCAGAACGATCCGTCGAGCGATAGGACTGTTTGCTCCAAGCACTTCCAAAAGACAGACTATGCCTACTTGCTTTAAGGTAATTACAAAGGCATGCAAATAATGAAATACTTGCAGCATTTTTCAGCATGTCTGTGTTAGCCAGAATGGGCAGTTTTGGTGAGGCAGGTCTTGATGCTGCAATAACACGGTACACAGGTGTGGCATAGTAGCCGCGTTCGATTTACTTGCACCTCCTGCACCGGTGCAGAAAAGTGTAGGGTGGTGTACTTCCGGTCGTATCTCAATACACATACTGGAAGTAGACTGCCCTACACTTTTCTGCACTGGTGCAGGACGTGTAAGTAAATGGAACACAGCTACTCTATAGAGAGGGGCATGCTCTGGTCACCTCGTTTCTCCGAGTGTAGAATGCATAGGGATGACCATGGAGGCTCCATAGGGATAACACCTCCGTGCAGTTGAGTGCACGAACTGACTTTCGCGTTGTTTAATCGTTGTGCTTGACAAAAGGTTGTAAGGTGGTGTTCCGCGTGCGTGGTGCCGTGCAACTGTTGTGAAAATGAAGTAAGCGAGTCAGGTGACAACTTTTTTCAAAAAGAAATAAACATTAGCAACCGCTATTGCTTAAGTTCCCTGTCCTTTTTGTTTAAACTGGTGCTTCATTTGTAGGAGAGCTCGTGTAAATGTAATTCTTCAAATTATGAATATCGTGAAGAATATTGGAAGAAGCTCACTTTTTCAGAACATTCGTTTGCTGTACGAACGCATCTGCAGTGGGAAGATCAAAGAAAGTTATTCACTTGCACTCTCGCATTTGCCTTATATATCAGAACCTTTTATCTTCTATGTTATAGTATTCAAATCTTTGTCCATTGTAACTTTTTCTGTTTTTTTTAGTCATGTATTAAAATGTTTCCTTTCCAATTGAGTTCTTGGACTCTCCTGTGCACTTTCCTATGAATGGATCATAGTTTAAAGTAAAGGCAGTGTTTGTCTAAATAAATGTGTATAAATATATATATATATATATATATATTTTTTTTTTTTTTGTGATCACACCAGCATTTTAAAACACCCCTCAAAAGTATTTTCTGGTATGCCACTGCTAAAATCAGTTAGTACTTTTTACTCAGAAAATTCTTAGTACAGGTCATCTATGCTCGCAGGGCCACGTGCTCTATTTGTTAAACAGGTATTCATTGTAGTTGTCATAAAAACACATTGGACTCGTAGGAAACAAACGGCGACTTCATTCTATTTTGTTGAACGAGCACTTTTGTGTAGAGAAGTAATTTATTAATGCGTTAGCATTAGTACCTACATGACAGGGAATGCTGATGCCGTCCATCTGCGGACAAAGCAGTGGAAAGGGAAGTGCACCATGTCGAGAGGAGGGGAGTAGTGAAGGACAAAGGGAAGAGGGAGGTGACTTCATTAGGTTGAAGCCAATGCGCGCGCGGCACGGCGAGGCGAGAGGGAGGCAACATCTCAAGGCGGAATGCATTGCGCGCGTGGGAAACCGGTGAACAGCGAAAGCAGCGTCAGGCAGCGGATGCCGTGGCTAAGTGTGCGAGGCGAGCGAACGAGACGGCGGAGCGGAAGCAGCAGCTCAGCTGGCCGAAATGTGGCGCAAAAAGCGGCAAGCCGATGCGGGTCTGCGTGCAACAGAGGCTGGGGCAAAGCAGGCTCGGCGAGTCCGCTTCGCCGGCCAAAATTAAAGGAAGATCCATTGGTGGATCCTTAGGGAATGCGTTGGGATGACCCTTGGCAAACGACACACACGTCCCCTTTTGGGAAACGCCAACACTGACCCCGTAATGAAGCCAGAAAGGGGCAGCAAAAAATAGAGGAAGCAAAAGAGAAAGCCAAAACAGAAGAGTGAGGGGGTCAGCGTTAGCATTTCCCAAAAGGGGACGTGTGTGGCGTTTCCCAAGGGTCATCCTAGCGCATTCCCTAAGGATCCCCCAATGGATCTTTTTATATTTGTTTCGAAATAAATGGAGCTTATTCCACAATCATATTCTTAAGGACGAGATGTCCAAGTGCCTGTAAATCTGTGAGAACACAGTTTCGAGACTGTGTTTTCTGCCTTTTTGTTGTTGTCCACCGCATAGAGCAGCGTTGGTGGCATTCCTCAAACACGCCACCAGACTGTAGCAAATGGCTAAAGACTGTAGCAGACGGCTAAAGACTCGCCTGGCCCTTGCAGCGCCCACGTGCCAGAAGGAGCAGTATCGAGACCACCTCGAGGACGCCGGGTGCCGATCTCAGAAGAAGGTCAAGATGGCCGCGTGCATCGGCTCTTGCGGCACGCACTGCTGCCGGGCGCACAAGACAAAACGACGCAGCGTCAAGATGGTGTGCCCCCTGGGCAGAACGTATACCAAGCACATGGAAGTGGTCCGCAAGTGTGGCTGCTCTCGCAAGTGCTAGGGAGCCGACCCACACCAAGCGGGCTCCCCCTGTGGTTGTACACATCCAGCACACAGTCATTACTCCTCCTCGTGGTTTGTTTCCCGAGTGACGCAGTGGTCCCACTTTTCAGCACGAGAGACAATGCACTCGTTCGCCTTGGATTCTTTTCTAATGCGAACCAAGACACGTTTCTTGAGTACCAGTTTTCATACGCCGTTCGTGTACAGAAGTAGAGGAATGTTTTCCGTCGACGAGGCCGTGTGCACAATCTCGATCGAGTGCCGCAGGCAGAAATCACCGTTTCTCCCACAAGACTGCACTTGCCACACTCGTTCTTTAATAAGCACTGCTCTTGAAGACAAAACAATCTTTTTTTTTTTACATTAGGCATTTGCAGTAATTTATACCATTACCACTCCATCTGTGTCAACTTTTCCAGTTGTTCTTGGAATGCGAGGATAACGACGAGAGCCTTATTCTGGTGCTGGGTTCAGTGCGATGGTGGCATGCATGTACATAGTGTTGGGGAGCTTCTGACCATAGGTCGCTTGGACGACGAGCCACGCAGTCACAGGGGCCAGCCTGCACAGACTAGACTGCAGGGTCGGAACGATAGCAGCCCGTTCTTCCCCGAATCAAGTGGTGCCCTTGTTTCCGCCATCCTCAGGCTACACGAGGGAGAAACGACAGAGCAGGGCGGGCGCCACTGTTGCCCCTTGGGCACCAGCACCACATACCGTACTGGCCATGTGTTGCTCCTAGCGATGCTTTCCGGTGCATGTTTGGAGGCACCTTACAACACAATATGCTGCTGAATGTAGCTTTCTCCCGTAAGGTTATTGGCATTCTTGCACCAGTAGGCTCTCCGTATAGTTCCACTATGCCGATGCAGCGAAGCGGTAGGCCAGAGATCCCAATTTCCTGTGGCAGTTGTCACGGTCGACTCTGGCAACATTGAACTAGAATTTTGGGGACACTTCTGTGAAGTGGTCCAGTTACAGATGTAAGGTTTCACAACATCCTTTGGTCATACAAAGCTCTCCTTGCCTGCGTTGGGAGGAATGAAAACATTTTTTAAGAGCTTCATCAAGTGGGAAAGTGAAACGGGAATATTGACGCAAGGTTAAGCATGCCAATGGACCGATTCCGGGTGTTGACCAGAGGACACTGGCCACCTCTTTTCAGGAGGAAACATGTTCAAGAGAATCTCCCGCCCTCAACTGTAAGTACACAAGTGCAACCTTGTTCCCTGAAAAAAGACATATTCAGAGTGCGCACTTGCGTCCGCTGCTTGTTTCACTCGTGCGACCTATGAATGTCTAACTAATTTTCACCGTTTTATGTTCACTAAAAACAACAGGGTTTGCTGGCAACTGCCAGTATGTGCAGTAATGGTTGAGTTAAGTTTTGACAAAATGCTCAACAAAAGGAGTTATGCTACCAAGAACTCGCAGAATTTACAGTTAGACACATTTATAGTAGAGTACCAGCTTATTACTTTCAATATTCTGCACTTAGTTCTGTAGAAAAAGTATGACCTGAAACTGATTATTTCATCAGTCTTGCAGTGATAACTTGATTTTGCCACACTGCAGCATGAAATTGGATTCACTATGCACTTTATTTCGTGCAGTTGTTTTGTGATGGACAAATCTGGAGTCGCAAAAATAAATAGTGCTGTATTTATGCGAAAGAATAAAATGTTCTGAACCAAAGAATGCAGCATCCAACTGGGATACCGAACTATATATATATTGCACGCGACATCACGCCATGCTAGTGCTCGTTCCTGCTTCTGGCCAAGAAAAACAAATTTGGTGCTGCAAAATGCATGCTGTTGAACGTACACGCACTGTCACCAAAACAGCAGCCGATATGGCGTCGATGCAAGTCATGTACACCAAACACTCCTTCACCCGATCAGTTCAATCTCACCGAAAAGAAAGTTTTACTGAGGGTTGTTTGTTGTGTTTTACTCGTTGACTGTGCTGCCCGAGTTCAGCCTCACCAATGCACAATTCTCTCCTTTGTCGTCAAGCTTATGCAGCTTTGCCCTACTTTGTTTGAAAATAATAGTGTGCAGTAAGAAATGAGTAAGACCCACGGACAGTGACAGAGAAGGCAAGTGAGAAGAAACCAACCCTCGTTAATATTTTGGGGCTGCCCAAACGTGGCAGTGTCTCTCTCCGTGCTGGAGAGAGACTGTTGCACTTCATGCTGGGATGCTCCAGTATAAACCTGCTTTCACAACTTCATTCCCAAGGGGGCAAATTTCGCATCTTGCTGCTGGAGACATATCGTAAAATATTCTGGAAGTGCCCACTATTAACATTTTTAAAACAAACTTGGGTATTTAGCAAATTATACATTAAGTGCCCAGTTTGACTGGACAAGCACCCATGTCAAGATTATCCCAGTTTTCAGTAAAAGTGGGGTGGGCACTTTTTCCGGCATTTTCCGGTTGTCTCACCAGTTGCCATTTTGGTCACCCATGTGTACGGCCCTGCATTTGCGAAGTTTATGTTTGTGCAAAATGGGAGGGCTTTTCTGAAATTTATTTTTTTACCACATATTCTGCACTTTTTGTAGCTTTCATTCGTGGTACACAAAAATACGAGTTTTGGGGGGTTTCAGTGTCATTGGGTTCAGAGCTTATAAAAACAAGCCAGTCATTCCAAAATCTGGGTATTGCTTGGTGTAGTCACCCTTTGCTTCCTGCCCATCATGCAGAAATACTGAGGAAGTCCACTGAATGAATTTTGAATTCCTGTTGTCAAAACAAACGACAAGGGAAAGTTTGCTGAAGTGAAATCTTTCATAAAAAGGAGGCCGGAGAAAAGTGATTGAATTTCTAGGAAAGAGAAGTTTCTGGAAGGAATGCTGGGCAGGAAAGTTACAGCATTTCGTTTGTGAAAATAAAAATTGACTATCTTGGTGGCGTTGCAAGCGCGAGATGCTTGGGCTTTTGCGTCACGGCGGAGAAACGTTATTCTAAAACTCTTGCGTAGCGTGCGCTAACGCAAGCGCTAAATCTAGCGTTAGCGTGTGCTAAAATTGCATACGTTGTCTAAAACTCCCTAGTTCTAGAATAGCGTTTCACCACCGCGACGAAAAAGCCCAAGCATATCGCGCTTGGAACGCCACCAACATAGTCACAATTTTTATTTCAGACACTGTAACTGTAACTTGAGAAAAAAACAAGTTTTTTTGGTCCAGAGTAACATTTTAGATTTGTTTAAACATGAGAATGCGACGCGAGCAGTCGACCGGTCGTGTCCGCTTGCGTCGCCTCGGCAAGAGAGGTCTCGTGTGCTGACCTTCGCTGCCTTCGCCGAGAAATGTTCGCACGTTCCTGTCAGACCTTCGCTGCCTTCGCACGAGCTTCAGGTCGTTTTGCGTCAACCCGAGACTAAGGAGGTCCCGGGCACTCTCTGCAGACCACACAGCCCCTGAAGTTGAGGGTGATGGTGGAGGTTAGTAGAGTGCTGCTCCGTCCGGCTCGAGCTGAGAGTTGCAGTAGTGGCCCCAAGTATTCGGCCACCTTCTGATGGTGCAGGAAGCAGAGACCCATGCCCGTTCCTACGACCTGGGCGTCCAGGATAAGGGCGTCTTGCTCCTTGAAGGCGACCAAGTCGGGCTTCAGTGTCCCGTCGGGCAGAGGGAAGTGCGACTCCCAGAGGACCATCCATCCAAGCTGTTTCAGGCAGTTACACACGTAGCGGGCGAGGTTGTGCCTCTTCACCCTACCACGGTGTCCCCTGCGGCAGCACTGGAGGACAAGTCCCAGGCTCCCTGGAGCTCGGCAGCCGGCCTGACAGGAAACGTCCACACCACGGCCTCGACTGGTCCTTTCAAGGGTTGGCATGGCGTTTATTCGGAGCTTGATCAGGTTCATAAATTGTCGTTCACGCAGGAGACGGGTCCCCTCAGACACCCAGCGGTGTGCTCCCGGGACTTCGCCGGAGTCGCGCAAGGCGGCCCTGTCGTTACTTCAGTGCAGGAGATCGGTCCACATCTTTTGGACCAACTTCTTGTTGAGGAGCTTCTGTCCCTGGTAGCAGCAGGCCGCCAGCGCTCTCCGGCGGAAGCCAGCCAGGAGGGGCAGCTCCAAGGCCGGAGCACACCCTGGATGGTCGGAGAACCGCAGCCCGTCCAGTCGCAGCAGGCGCATTGATGGTATTAAGGCCCGCAAGGACACCACTCCTAGCCCACCCTCCCCCACCGGGGCATGGAAGTACCCCAGTGGTGTGTCGTGGGGGAGGTCGAGCCAGGCCGGCGTGGAGGCTTTGACCCTGGTGTCCAGCTTTTTCAGGAGGCCGCAGGACCAGCGACCCGGGACCAACCAAGGGAAGAGGCGGGGCAGGAGGTAGGTCCGGAGCAGGACCAGTCGTTACTGGGGCTTGAGAAGAGTGGTTGTTTGGGCGAGTTGCTTTGACATCTTATACAACCATGTGCGCAGCAAGGACGAGGACAAAAGCAGAGAACAGCACACAACAAGGCACAACTTTCAACTGAATTTTATTGAATATGTGTTCCGGTATTTATAGTCTCAACCATCGTCACAATGACAACAAAACAACAAAAGCAAAGGAGAACTACCATCACAGAGCATAATTGGAAAATAACACTATCTCGTTCTCGAGAAAAACAATTCCTTCTCTGATAACGCAATTGACGGCATAGCAACACAAGTGTGTCCTAAATAATCAATGTGCTCGGCTTCTATGATTTCGTGTGTTAACGCAGACTTGCATTTCCCAATTTTTATGCATCCATCCAACAGTGGGGTACAACCGCATGTCCTGCAATGCAAGTCAAGAAAGCCACCCTTCTTTTTTTGCACGTTGTTATTGTGCTCGCGAAGCCGGTCATGTAGGCAGCGCCCCGTCTGCCCGACGTCGTGCCTGCCACAGGACAACGGAATGCGATAAACCACACCTTCTGTACAGTTGACAAATTTCGTTCTGTGCTTCTTTTCACATCAGTGTTTGGCACGCACGCCAGGCTTTGATAGTTTGCACAGGTCCATGAGCTTATTGGGCGCAGAAAACACTACCTTTACATTTTATTGCATTGCTACTTTCTTTCAATTTTGCGACACTCTGTGTATATACGGTATCACAACAACTTTTCCTTTTTGTCTTTCAGCTGGCTCCCATTGTTTTCCACGAGACGGCGCTTTCTTAGAAGGCCCTCCGCGACCGCAACAAGGATGTGTTTAGGGTACCCAGTTGCGAGCAAGCGCAAAACTTGCTGATCAAAACCACTGGGGATCAAATGCTGAAAACAAACAGCGCAAGGACAAGGACAGAGTAGAAGGCGATAGACACACACAATGCTGCCTATCGCCTTCTACTCTGTCCTTGTCCTTGCGCTGTTTGTTTTCCGCTAATATGAATGACCAACTAGCCCAATTGTCAACACTACTGATCAAATGCTTACAGAACTTTTTGAGTCCATTGGTGAAACAAAGGGTAACAATACTTCTTCTGACTAGCTTGAAGTGGGCCGAATGAAACGGAAGTAACGGCTTATTCGCACGTGGCTCATAACACCAACGAATCCCGGAGAAAAGCTCACCGGAGAAAAGCTCACCGCGAAACCGGCGGATGCGGAGAAAAGCTCGCCGGCCATTGAGCGTATGCAAAAAAAAAAGCTCACCGATTTTTTTTCTTCGTTTTATATTGAGGCTGTTGGATCATGCGTAACATATATCAATTTATTATAATTAAAATTCATCAGCTTTGTAGAAAAGAAAGTGTCTTTTTTTGTAATATTTGTTAAGCTTATTGTGTATATTGCCTCCAATTTAATAATTGCGGGCGAGTGTTTTCTGTGGCTTAATCTGTAGGCAACGAAAGCCCAACTGAAAACTTTATGAACTTGAAGAACAGGAAAAAGTTTGAAAACATAATAATGCCTGCCTAAAACCTAAAAGTCAAAATTCTAAATGCCGAAAATTCGAAAGTGCATGCGCAACAATGCGGTGCCTGAAATTCTCTTTGAAGCTTTTGTTAACCTTTGAAAACTGGATAAAACAGTCAGTAGGATGTCGAGACTTTCTTCTACGGACATGCACGTTTTGTAGCCGTTCGTGCTGGTGTTTCCACACGTTGCCTTTGTGTGATTTTGCCCTTCTACGACGAGCCACCCATGACCTTCAGAGCTGCACACTGGCATGTTGTTTCTCGTGACCTATATAAGAATTAGTCTTCAGTAATATAGCGAATTGGGCGAGTTGGTAAACTTTATACAAGTTGAAAACCGCTCAAACGACGATGACGGAGTGAAGACAACAAACACGACAGGACGAAGCTGTTCTCGTAACTAAAGTTTGTTAGTGAAATTAACAGAAAGAAAACAGCGTAGCCGACACTGATTACAGCAGCAAACACCTACTTATCTATTAGGCACTACACAATATTTGGAGCTGAAACGGTTCACACATCGCTACTCATATTAGCTCGAAAAGTACAAACCTCTTTATCTGACAGAGCTACCGACGGCGCACTTTCAGCTGTATATAAATTGTTGTATTTTTTACCGGTGTACAATGATCTGGTTTTATACTTGCAACTTCAATAATGTACAGAATGGGTGATTACTAATTTCTGAGGAATTAGTAATTATGCCCAATGAACTTCAAGAATATTACAAAAAGAGGATATATTTTTAATGAAGTGAAGAATGCCAATTGTGTTAAATCGACACGTTTGACACAAAATACTCTTAAGTTAAAAAAGAAAATCGGCGAGTTTTTCTCCGCATCCGATCAAAGGCCGGTGAGCTTTTTTCCGCATATGCCGGTTTTGCGGTGAGCTTATCTCCCGTGAGCTTTTCTCCAGTGAGCTTTTCTCCGCCGCCCAACACCAACAGATGTGGTCGTCGAGAAATAAATCTGATGTCAAGAAAGCGAATTGTGTTGTCCACAGGTATCTCATGCGTGACCTCGAGTGGGCCAAAACATTCCGTAAAAATGGTCAGGGTTTTGACAGCCTCTGCTTCAAAAGCGTTTGTGTCAGATGCAATGAAAACTAAAAAATCATCTACGTACCTAAACTTTTTTTAACCTTTGATCTTTAAAGCCGGCTGTAAAGAGTACTGTCAAGCTGTGCTAAATATATATCGCTTAGAACAGGCGCGATACACGAGCCGATGCATATGCCCTGTTTTTGCAAGTAAGGCTTGTATCCCCACTGAATAAAAGTTGTTCGAACAACTTCGCCAGGAGAATGGCGACTCCTCGGAGCCGCCATTTTTTAACTGTGCTCGTCTTGGCTTTAGCCAACTTCTCAGCACGAATCCTCCTTAGAGGAAGATTCGTGATGAATCGCACGCTAAATAGCACACGCAAAGCGCAAAACGTGGTTAGTCCAACACCACGACCATAGCTCGTGGGCTATCCTGGTGAGTTGTGGAGAGCAGGTGCTGCCCCTCCTGTTGATGGCCGCTACTGCTGCTGTGTTGTCTAGCTCGAGGAGGATGGAGCCCCGAGACACATTCTTTGCCAGCACCTGAAGGGCCAGGAAGGCTGCCATCAGCTCCAGGGCATTGATGTGCCAAGTGGATTGGAGTGGTGTCCAGTGATGCCCGATCGTCCACCCCTCCGAGCATGCTCCCCACCCCTTCAGCGAGCTGTCCGACTGTATCGTCTGTACTACTGGGGGTGTCTTGATCTGGTCCCTTGGGGTCTTCCTCAGTGCTCGGATCCACCACGCTAAGTCCTGCCGCGTGTCCCTGGATAGTGTAAGAGTGGTCGTGTATGTACCTCTCTGTAGGGCCCGTCTCAAATCTGTTTGAAGGTTCCTGATATAAAAGGAACCCTCCGGCAGTACCATTAGGCATGCATTCAGTTGTCCCGCCAAGCTTGCGACTTGGCGGGCCGAGATCACCGGTTGCTCTAGCCTCTGCTGTAGGTGGTCTAACGGGTTGGCGAGTTTCTCTCCAGGGAGCTCGAGCGTCAATCGTCTCGAGTCTATCGATAGTCCCAGAAACAACAAGTCCCGGGCTGGTGTCAGTACCGACTTCTCCAAGTTTACGGCAAAACCCAGGTTTTGTAGGAGGTTCACGATTAGATGTCCCTGGTTTGCGAGTAGGGAGGGGGATTGGTCCATGACAAGGATATCGTCCAAGAACATGACAATGCGAAGTCCCTTGGACCGGAGATAGGCCGCGACTGGTTTCAGTAGTTTTGTGAAAACTCTCGGTGCCGATCTGAGGCCAAATGGCAGCACGTTCCAACGGTAGACCCTGTCCCCCTCTCGGAAGCCGAGCCAGGGGCGGTCCTGGTGGCAGATTGGGACAGACAGGTATGCGTCCTTCAGGTCGATACGTATCATGGAGTCGCCCTGCTGGATAAGATCCCTCACAGAGTGCCACCCCTCCATCTTGAAGTGGTTGTGTTGCACCGACTCGTTTAGTTGTCGGAGATCTAGAATTGGGCGCATCTTGTTGTCCTTCTTTGGTACTATGAAGAAGGGGGAGAGGAACTTCACTTCGGAGGGTGGTACCCGAGAGACCGCTCCCTTTCTGACCAGCTCGGACACTGCCTCCCGGACCTGATTTGACTGCCCTCGGGTCGGCACGTTGTGCAACCCTTGAATCGCTGGTACCTGTGCAAACTCCAGCTTGTACCCCTGTGTTGTCTGAAGGACCCAAGCATCGTGGGTGAGTAACCTCCACGCTTCGCGGCAATATGCCAGTCGGCCCGCGGGCGGCAGTGCTAAGAGGTGCGGGCTTACCGTTGCCTCGATGTCCCTGGCGGAGGTAGGCCCCCCTCGTGTAGCCTCGGGAAGGGGGCCCCCCGTGAAAGGGCTGCCGGCCCACACTCCGGCTCTGGGCACTGGTCCCTGGGGCAGCCGAGCTGCGGGACCTCTTGGCTGCTGGCTCCGCGGCGGGAGGGGGCGGTTGGCGGGCTTCCCGGAGGACCTTGATGGTCTCGTTCCGCGTTCGCAGCTGCCCCAGGAAGCCCTCTCCAAACAGCAGTGGGGATCCCTCGTCCCCGCCGTCATGGGCCACCATCTGGCGGAGATCTGGGGCCACTCGTGCAATCACCCCCTCCCGGCGCTCGCGGGAGAGCGACGCGAAGAGCCGCCCGAGATGGGCGGTAGCTGCCCCCACGTGGTCAGCCACCGTCTTTCTATCAATGGCCTCCTCCGTGAGGCCAATCTCTAATAGGCCAACCAGTGGCCCCATAGCAGCGGCCACTCCGTCTTGGCTTTCTCGGAGTGCCTGGTCCCGGGCAGCGACGTTGGCGGGCCCTTCCGAGCCACCCTCTGGACGGCGGCTCCTCTCCTTCGCCAGGGCCTTCATTTCCGGATTTAACTCCGGCACTGTGGCGAAGGGGAGCCGCGGTCGCGGGAAGCTCGTCAGGGCCGCCCTGCACCGCTCCGCGCGCCCTTCGGGGCCCCAGTGCTCTTTGAGGAAGTCGAGGAGGGCAGGGTCCACCTCCCGGGGACGGCCCTCCGTCGGTCTCCCCAACCAGGCATGGGGCTCGTCAGCGGGACCCAAAGGGTCCAGGTCTGGCGAGTTGCTCCGCTCACTATGTCGGAGTTCGACATCCTCCGTGGCTAACGGAGGGAGGCGGTTGGTGAGCACCGCTACCGAAGTAGCGATGTTCGCCACCGTTCGTTGGAGCTCCACGATCTCGGCGGTTGACATCTGAGAAGCCCAAGAAAGTCACATATCGGTTAGAAACGATTACCGCCGCACTGATCTCCGTTGTCGAACGAAAGGGATAAAGGTGCTAAGTGTGGCCCTTGAGGCTGTTCAAGAACGCGCCACGTTGTCCGGAGCCGGAGCTCCCAAGACGCGAGTGGGGGCACTGGATGTAGCTTGAGATCGCCGCCTCTGTTCGGGGCCGGGGCCCATAGAACAACAAGGGGGATCGGACAGTTTGGCTTATTGAATAGCCCTTGTGACTGTCTAAGACCGCGCTGCGTCGTTTGGAGCCGCAGCTCCCAAGACGCGAGCGGGGACGCCGGAAGTAGCTTAAGATCGCCGCCTCTGCTCGGGGCCGGAGCCCATAGAACAACAAGGGGGATCGGGCCCTATTGCAAACCGAAAATAGTCCTGCTCTGTCCGGAGCCGGAGCCCATAGGACGTGAGCGCGGACGCCTGAAGTAGCTTAAGATCGCCGCCTCTGCTCGGGGCCGGGGCCCATAGAACAACAAGGGGGATCGGGCCCTATTGTAAACCGAAAATAGTCCTGCTCTGTCCGGAGCCGGAGCCCATAGGACGCGAGCGAGGACGCCGGAAGTAGTTTAAGATCGCCGCCTCTGTTCGGGGCCGGGGCCCATAGAACAACAAGGGGGATCGGACCCTATTGTAAACCGAAAATAGTCCTGCTTTGTCCGGAGCCGGAGCCCATAGGACGTGAGCGGGAACGGGTCCTTCAAGCCACTAAAACTCCGCTGCTTGAAACTCCACTGCCTTTGTTCGAGGCCGGGGCCCGAGAACTTAGGCCTAGCACCGATAGCGGACGTGCGACAAATAGGTTCAAAATTGTTTACTCAGCGGTCGGATAAAGTTTCTTCTAAACCTCGCAGAAGGCGAAGTCAATCTCTTGACGAGAGTGAGCCTCTCCGAGTTCTATCGGTTGAAATCTCCGGAGAACAAAGAAAAGGCTCGAAGAGCGATGAAACTTACGACTCGTCGCTCCGATCAACGAAGGAAAGATGAAGACGGAAGGGGAGAATACTTCCCTAAGGGGGAGCGCCTAGGGCGCCACCTATTTTTTATTTTCAAAATAGCTTTGAAACGTTGACGTCAGTTTCGGTATACACCAACTCATGTTTACAAACAAACTCGCGCGCCCCTAGCGGCACAAGCGGCGGCCGCGCATGCGCGATAGGGTGTGGGCAGAAAACCACGGCGTCCTATGCAAGCAACGCATTGGGGCGTTGTTGACATCGTCTACTTTCGCTGTTTTCACCGTTTTTACTCGTTGTCGATGACTGTGCGTCCCCGGAGAGATGTCTGACTATGTAAGTGGCCTAAGTGAGGCAGAAAAAGTGCGATACAAAGCGAAGCTTTGCGTAAATAGTGTTATGCATGGCGACCCGTACGGCGTGGACGCCGCAGAATGGACCCTAGCGAGTCGACGGTGGCCACCCGTCACTATGGTGAACATCACCTTGTATTTATTATTTACGCCGAGCCAATTTACCCCGGAAACCCTGGAGGCCTACAAGTCCTTGGAGGCTTACAATTACTTCGTTTCAGGTAAGCACAGCGGCAGTGAAGAGTGCCTGCCCAATCCAGCTGGTGCAAGTCGAGCGCGGCGGTTTCAAGTCAGAGGCTCAGACTGATACGATAAATTCGTTACTTCCGTGCTACGTAGCGAGATTTGTAAGATTTACGTCAAAAAACAACGAATCTAGCGAAACGTACGATATTGCACGTCTGCGGCTACCATTTTCCCGTCACCCGGGCCGCGTTTCGCGCTCGCTGTAACCGCAGCCGCCAAGAATTCCGTCTGTGGTCTTCGTTGTTTTCTTTTCTCACTTAATATCTTTTAGGTTTGAAACCGCACTTGCAGTATTGCTGCGTGCTTTACGCGCACAGGCGCTGTCCTTGATCTTGACTTGCATTTCTTCTCTGTGTATCTGCGTTTCTCAGCCTTCTGCATCGGGAACGTTCCGCATTTAGGGCCAATTTGTACGGTTAAGTGTTCCTAGCGATTCGGAACAAATTCGGTAGTTCATGCAGTCTCTCATTCTCAGAGATATTGCTTTATTGATCGCCCATTGCGCTCCTGGTACACTACAGATCGTGATCGTCAGTCTGCCCAGTAGTTCTTGTACAGCTGAAAGGCTGTTATCAATATTTTTCAAGCTGCCGCAGTGTCCTTACGTGACGGATCCACTGAGATGTACCCTGTGCAAGTAAAGTTTAAAAAAAAGGACCAATGTTATATGTGCTTCATGAAACACACATACCCTGCACATGTGCATACTATGCAGGCACAGCATGCTTGCAAACACTTGCCAGTGCAGGGCTGGTCTCGATATTTTTCTGAAACATAGGCTGTCATAGCCAGTGTGGTCATTGCAGAATAACGGCTGATCTCAAAACAAATGATACACTTTGTAAGGATTTAGTTAAAACGCATGTATTGGCTTTGCACTGTTGTCCAGGCCATGTGCAGGACATCAGACTCTGGCAGCCTGACGGACACGACACATGCTTCATTCGAGCAAATGTGAGACCGTCACAGAGGGCAACTGGCCCGCCTCATGATGCTTGGGTGTGCCTCGACAACTCCTCAGGACGGGTACATTCTGGCCATTGCACATGTAAAGCTGGGTAAGTCCCTGCTTAACCTCATCTGTAACAGCATTGACCCCAAGCAATAGATATGAATAAACAATATTTTTTTCCTTCCAGTCTGGGTGAGGTGTGCAGCCACATTGCAGCAGTCTTGTTTGGTATTGAGTACAGTTCAAGATTGTGTCAAGAGGCCTCATCATGCACCTCCCAACCTTGTGCATGGACCAGGAGTGCGACAAAGAAAGTATGCTTTATCCCCGATATATTTGACATCTAACTACTATCATACAATATTTTCACAACTCGTGAGAATGATTTTCATTCTTTTTTTTTTTCTTTTCTTGCCATGTGCAGGGTGCTGAAATGTACTATGATTTGCATAGTCCCGTCAAAATAATTGAATCAACACATTTCTTTTTTATTAGTACGCTATTATCGGTTGGCTGTCATGACAACAAACATCCCCCCTCTAATGTGCAAGCTTAGGAGATCGCAATCAGTATGCACTAGCAGTACGCCGTATGTGCACCTGACCTGTATCGACACATTTCGTGGATAGTAGTCGGATACCTGCATATTTAGTCTCGCACAGCCACATCCTTTGTTCTTTCAATTAAATTCTTAATCATGAGTGGATATCCAAGCATAAAGTATGCCTATTCAGTGTTGTATGGAACGGCGTTCCTGGAACGCGTTCCTTTTAGGAGGAACGAAGGAACGTTGCCGTTCCATTTTCTTCGGTGGAACGGGAAGTCGTTACCTTTTTACTAAAATAAAAAAAGAACGGCATTTTTTTTCGTCGTCCAGTGGGCTAATTTGTATTTTATTTCTAAGAGGGAAATTCTAAAAATATAAAAACAATACCTTTTTGAAGAGCAGGATCTCGTTAAAAGTTTTGGTTGCTTATCTCAACGTTTATTTTTCGGAGTCCTCGCTTAATAACGGTCGGGTGCAGGAGAGCTAGTGGACATTGCTTATTTTTTCAGTGCCCGAGATTGCGGTTCATAAACCAAAATTTGTCGTCGAAGGAAAAGACCCAGAAAGAGGGACGTTTCAAACTTAGCTACTTCGTTTGCAAACACGAATCCTCATACACCCAGAACTCTAAGGCCGACTACAGCCATTACTGAACTTCCACAGACTTACAGTTACAACAAAAGAACAGGTTACCTGACATCGAACACACTCTTGTAACCCAAATATTGGTCACTTAAATGATACAAAAAAAAAAAAACTTCATTTCTTCTCTCCTTGTTCCAAACCTTGAAACTGAACAACGAATCCAACTTTCACGAAGAAACCTTGTAGTTTTCAAGACTGACCTTCAAAAGCCCTACCCTCTTCTTCACTTGCTTGTCTTGTGGACACCAACATCAAGAAGCAACTGTTAAATTCGAACAAGGGACTTTGTGAGATTGAAATGTGGGACATTGTTGTAATACGCTCGTGCAATCTGGGGTAACAGTACATTTGGCTCGTCTGATCAACCACCACAAAAGATGGTAAAAAGCCGAGAGTTTTAATGGTGAATAAATCAGCAAATGAAACCCTGCTTTCGCGTGTCTTCTCCTGGTGCCCTTCCCTCGCTGCATTCAAATTCGTATTTTGCCATTTGATGGGATAGATTAAAAAAAATTTACTTGATCTAACTCAATATGGTAATCAGCAAAATACAAATGTAACGTATATGTAATGATGCGTTTCATTTTTTTAACTGTAACGGGAGCGAGTTCCTTTTTCACATAAGAAACTTGTAACGGGAACACGTTCCAAAAATTAGAAGGTACAAACTTTCATTCCTTTTCTTTTTTTTTTTTCTGGAGCATGTACAACACGGCTCAGGGGTTGTACTGCTCTATCTGAAAAAACAAAATGTTTGTGACTGCACTAGAAATTCAGAGGCAGCCAGATGCAAGAAATTACTTTGGAATCTCAGCACTGTTTTGTCAGACCAAACCTCTTTTTCACTTGTGGGGCTTTTTAAAGCAAGTGCGGTGCAAATGTGACTGTCTCCACTGCAGGAAGACATGGTCCCCGTGCACAAGCTGGACTTAAGTAAGCCCGGGATGCCAAGCAGGCGTCTTCCTGATGAGCCCAACCATGTAGCCCATGACTACAACCCCGACGACAGGGCCCTCTTCCAGGAGATCCTGAGGCTGAACCCAAAAGCGGTCGTCCTCAGGTCTATACCTAAGATGAACGACGAGGACACAGATTCGGCATCTGAAGACGAGCAGTCTTACACATTCTTAAGGCAAGTTAAATGCTTGTTCCCGTTATTAAATATCTCATCAACAGAACTAGCTTACAATAGCTATGTTTCCTGAGGCATAAGACAACATGGACTATGATGAGCAATTTTACAATTTATAACACACTTGGGTTTTTTTGACATCTGTATCCTATTGGGCCGAGCAGTCGCGTCTTCGGCAAGTGTGCTTTCTCTTGTGCTAGCTTCAACATTTACATAACAATCAACGATACTTCATAAGTGCAAGAGTTGTCCAACAAAATTTGACTGTGGCAGTGCTTACTGCCTCATTGTGAAAGACATTACCCATCAGGGACAGAAGTTGACGTTCCACATATTCATATATGAGGGACACACCCATTTTCCAGTTCTTTTTGTAATGTTTCTAAATCAATTTTCTGAAGGAAAGTGAGACGGACGGGGGCAACGAGAGCTTCACTGCCATTCGACATGTTTGTGCCCATCAACGAAATCGAGCGGATCGAGAAGAGCACGCGACGCCAGGCAGTAACCATATTCTGGCGGCAAGTTCGGTATGGAAGAATAACTGCCTCGGTACTGAACAAGGTATGTGAATTGTTGACATTTTCTCGCCTCTTGCAGGGAGGTTTTAGTATGCAGTCTTCTTTTTCCTTCAACAGGTGCAGACGATGAGGGATAGTACGTCGCCGAAGGCCACCCTGGACCTGATCCTGCAGAGGAGCCCTCCCGTCGACACTGAGGCCACCCGCTGGGGGATCGAGAAAGAGCCAGTGGCGAAGAAAGCATACCAGGAGTACATGTGCACAAAGCACAACGACTTTCGGCTCTGCGACGTTGGATTTGTGGTCGATGTCAAGGTTGTACCTACAACATTTATCGCAATTTTGAATATGCAAAAGCAGATATTTTTGACGCAAATTTCTTGATTTATATTGCAATGGCAACAACTGTAACACTGCTGCAACAAGTCCTATGGTGTTGGTGGTTGACTTGACCGACCTGATATAATGCAACAATTCGCATGTCTTGCATTCTGGAGGATCTATGCGCCGGGAACGATTGTAAACTCACTTTTAGTGCCTTAAGCAGCCTGTGCCTTAGCATGACTTGCCATTGTCAACATGGCTATTTCTGCACTCCACACCTTGGGTTCCTGTGGCTGCAGTTTCTGCTTCCTAGCACTTATTTTAAACACGGTAACATACAAAGCAAACAACAGTTTTCGAAACTACACTCTTCCATATCCCCAGAAAAGTGCATTACCATAACTATCCATTTTATTATCAAATCAATTATTGTACATAATATACTGCTAATAAGAGTAAGAAGCACCTAATGCTTTATTCCAATTTCAACCCACTACATACGTCGCTCTTCAGTGGAGGTGCAGATATCGCTGAATCATGCATTAAAGAGATGCTGAACCAAAATCTGGCTTCCCCAAAACACGCGGCAAAAGCGTGCAACGGGATGCTACAAACACCAAACATCACTCATACAGCGATATCTCGAACGGATGACCGTATCTCTCAAAGGAGGCGCATTTGCCAGGAATGTTGATGTCATGTTTCTCCGAGAAGGACAGGGAACGGCCTCGCGTCTTCTCCGCCTCGCCGCCTTGATGGAGCGAAGCAAAGGGAGGAGGAAACAAGGTATCTTGACATCACGCGCCTCGTCGGCCTGATTCAATCTCGACCTCTTTTTTCAAAAATACGGTTGTCCATTTGAGATATCGCCTTACGAGTAGTGTTGTAGGGATTGTAGTGTCCCGCCTACATCTCTTGCATTGTTTTCTCGAAATCCAAATTTCGGTTCACCATCCCTTTAAAGCTCGCATAGAGAACTTATCTCATGCTTCATATGTAAAAAAATGTCTGGGCGTGCTGTTATTATCACCCTTCTTTTTTTTTTCTTTTTACTGGATGTGTTCAGGATAACTTCCTTGGGGCCTCTCCAGATGGGATCTGGACCTGCAGCTGTCACGGTGTGGGCACACTGGAGGTCAAGTGCCCATGGTCATTGCGGCATAAGACGTCCAGTGCCACACAGCACGAGTGCTTTAGAGATGACTTGCAACTAAAGGAGTCACACAAACATTACACACAGGTGCAGACACAACTTCATGTCTGCCGAAAGGAAGTGGCGCACTTCCTTGTATGGACGCCAAACGATTGGGTTTTAACGGTTGTGCCTGTTGACAGATGCTTCTTTGCTCCTGTACTGGAGAAAGCACGAGCATTCTGGGCTGACCATGTCGTACCAGAGCTACTGTGAGTTTGTGGTGTCCACCAATGAAAATGGAAGAACGGTCCAGAGGGTAGATGACAGTGTGGTACCGGGGCCTAGCGAAAATAGTCTTTGCTTTGCCACTGTCATCACTTTTGTTAAGGGTTAATGAACCATAATTTGTATTCACAAAACCAGGCAGCAAAAGCGCCCAATAGTATGTTACAAACCCGTAAGCACCACTCAAAGCAATATCTCGAATGGACAGCCATTTTTGAAAAAAAAGGGTGCGGTGTAGCAACTCGCAACGTCACATTTTCTCCAACTCTCGTAAAAGATACGAGACAGCACGCGCCTTGCTCTATTCTACCATTTTTGTTAAAAAATGTGGCCATCCGTCCAAGTTATTGCCGTATGGGTAATGTCTTGGGGGTTTGTAGCGTCCCGTCTGATGCTTTTGCTGCCTTGCTTGGCGAATTCCGGTCCATCATCCCTTTAGGTTTTGTCGATTGTCCTGGTTCCTGTGCATAAGTTTCAGCATCGATTGCTATTTCCTTATCTTTCTTTGAATCCTGCTAACATATCCAATACTGTGTACCATCTTCAAGCTGTCTATTTGCTGTGCATGTAATAAATGGTATGCATATTTAAGGTGCCTACCCGGTGTCCATGATAGTGACTAGCATAGACCATGACTCAAGACAGCACTGAAAATTTTCAAGCAGTGTTGCCTTGGTGGCATTTTAAATTTCAGCCACAATGGTTACAATAAATCGGTGGTCTAGTAATGAGACGGGCTGCGACGAAAAGAGAAACAAACTTTATTATGATCTTTAGCTTCCTACGACATGACAAAAAAAATGTCTCCCCATCTAGGTGAAAAAGACAAAAAATAATTAGGGACGTTGGAGAGTACACAAAAGCATGTCATTTCTAAACAGGCAGAACAAGATTTTTAAGTATATTTCCATAGCAAATACAGAAAGTAGTCAAAATAAACTGAAATGGCAGTCGTGCATGTGCAACTCACTAGGTAAAAGGATGTGCAACCTGGTATTTCTACAACACTGTTCCTAGAGATTCTCCAACATCTAGAGCTTCCTTGATTGTCTCTGCTGTCAAAAGAAGCATTTCCCCCCACTTAGGCTCTGTTTTGGCAGAGTTTAACATGTCTAAGCTTTTGCACAGCCTTATCACCACAATCTTAAGATGGAGGGGCACCTTGGCTATCAGTTTGGAGAATATAATGGTACTGCACCTCGTTATGTAGATCACAATTTGCTTTTCGGTTCAATATGTCAGGAAGGGGGGGGGGGGGGGGGGGGGGGAGGAGAGAAAAATTGTTTTTAAGAATTATCTAGATTTTCAAATGCAATCTAACTTGTGAAGCAAAATATTGGACTGGTTCAGTGCCCACCGATCTCGCTGAACATTGTGCCAGCATGTGTTCGTGTAATCACTGCTTGCACGGTACACTTTAAAGGAACACTACAATGAAATATCGGCACTTATTAACGCGCAAGCATTAACTGTCTCATGGAGCGAGCTGACGTCATCAGCTTTGAAACCATGCATCGAGCAAGCGACAAAGGGAGCGGACAAGCGGCTTGCATGCTTTCGCATTCACAACTCGTAAGAAATGCTTAGGTGTACCTCAAGCTTTTTTTTGGGGGGGTTTATACGTGTTCAAAGGAGCAGTATCGCATCGGACGCACCAATATCTTGTAAAAGAAGACACAAAAAAGAATTTTCAAGCTGATTAAACGATTAGCAAAGAGCACCTGGTGGATGTTGCTAAAGCCTCGTTTGTAAGGCCCATCTAGGAACCTCTAGAAGATTAACCCGTCACTCAAAATTCACACAAAAGCAGCTGCGTGGTTAGTCGCAGTGGGCCGATTGCTGGTGTGCTTCAACCGCTTTGGTGGCTGGAACGGCTAGGGCATCCTGACCACGTCGGCCTCGCTGCAGCTTTGCTCATCCCAAGAAAACTACTTAACGATTGCGCCGGATGTGACGTATGTGCTTTCTGCTGGCTGCTCTCCGGGCGCTTGCCAGAGTGGACCATTTGTAACGAAAAATACAGCCATCAAGTTCAAACTACAAACGTGTGATTGTCATTTACAGATATTGTGGATCATATTCAGCCTATTTCTGAACACGACGGGTATATTTAGAATTTCGTTGAAGTACCCCTTAAAGACCATGGCTTAGTAGTTGTACTGGACATTGGCCTAACTATGCATCTACAAAAGAAAACCAAGTGCCCACATTTTGATAGCTGCCTAACTTAACGCTGTCTAAGCATCCACACAGCCCAGTTTATTTTTTTTAACAAAATATGAATTCAATATTGACGGTGGAGGAACAAAGGAGTAGAAGGTAATGAAAGAGTTGTAGATAAATATTCATTTAACAAAGAAACCCTGTTCATGTAATTGTTGGGGACAAAAGTATTTACAATGCATTTCATCTAAAGACAACAACGGACAATGCTGACAAAAACAATGCTTTGGAAAGCTCAGTGTGACAGCCATCACTAAAAAATGCAGGTCCCTTGGTGGCAGCTGGCTTCGAAAAAGTCTGAGGAAAAAAATAAATGTCTTTGGCCAATGAGCTTTCCAGGAAGTTCCTTTGAAAAAGAAATGCACACAGGTTAGGCAGGTTTCCCTGCCTTAAAGAGCCCCTAAAAGAAAAAGTTTTTTTTCTTTTTAACAACATGGTTGGGACATGCATGTCAAATAACTAATTCTATGCGAAAGAAAAAATTTTTAGAGCAATATTGATGCCGCGAGATGCGATTTAGTTGACAGTCGCCGCCTTTCCACTTGTTTTCCCTCGGCATTTTGGGTACAGGAAGGAGTGGTGGATCGGCTTCACCTTCGCGACCGAGATGGTCATTCCGGAGTGACACGCGACGTCGTCTTCGCACAGAATTTCAAATAAATCTCTTGCCGCCAGTATTGATCTTAAAAAAAAAGTTTCACATAAAATTTATTTTTTGACATGAGTGTCGCAACCAGACTGTTCAAAACAAATTTTTTTTTTTCTTTTCAGGAGTTTTTTAATTAGTGCACAGTACCTGCCTCACGAAAAGCCCTACATCAATTTTGGTTTTAGGTTTGTGATGCCAGAGCATATTAGTAAAATGTTTGTGGCATGTCGCAGTAGCGTTATGGGCAGCCTGTCCTGAAGAATTCTAAAAACCTTGATGCGACCAATGGCACGCTCTACATGAACCCTTATCTTTGACATCTTCCGCGCTGTCTCCACTTCCTCTGCAGGGAGCTGTCTTTTGCCCTTTGTGTACGCTGGCACAACCAGCCTAGCTCCGACCCTGCCAATGTCCTCGCGAATAAGGAACCCCCGGTCGGCTAGAACAGTGTCCCCATTCTCGAGCTTGTCCAGCAGCCCACTTCTCTGTGTAAGCCGCTTGTCCGACACTCTTCCTCCCCATGCCTTTGAGATGAAGCTTACTGCACCGCACGGTGTCACACCCACAAGAAACTTTATAGTGTTGCACGACTTGTAGTGCGAATATGTTTGCGAACGGGCAGTGAAGGCTAGTGGCCGCTGAATGCGGCATTCTGAGCAGTCTACGATCACACGACACCGTGGATAGTAGCGACGCACAAGGGTGGGCATTGTCCGTGCAATGTCTGGTTGTGTAGGCCAAATGATAAATTTAGAAAAAGTCTCGGCAAGTAAAGGAATGAACTTCACCATAATGTTTGCAACTGTCCCCTCCGACACATTGAACCGGAAAGCAAGATCGCGATTCAGCAGAGCGAGGCGCAGCTTAGCCAGCACCATGAAGACAGCATCCCCAAGGGAGACGGCCCTTGGCAGGTACTTCGTGCCTTCTCGCACCAACTGGACGATCAGCGAAAACATAACCATGCTCGGCAAGCCGGTATAGAACTGCACTGATGATTCAGTGAGCTGCTCGGCAGAAAATGATGTTACTCGTCTGTCTTGCAGACCTTCACGTAGAGTTCGGTTGTCAGCCAAAAGTTTCGCCTCTTTGTCTTGAAGGCGATGTACCTCCTTCTGCAGGGCTTCAAACTTGGAAGCTGAAAAGCAGGCCACATTTCGTACAAATATTAGTGCCACTCTAGAATTGGGACAGATTTTAAACCGTGTCCCACTGACTTACAGCAGATGAAACAAGGGACTGCTACCACCACGTCCGTTTGAGTTGAATTCTCGGCGATGAGCCCGTCCGAGCCTGAGATTGTCAGAACAATAAGCATGTAAGAAAGGACAGACAAGAATAATACAGGAAAAAATTCTGATTACAAAATTCGTAGCATACAGCATGAAACCGAAACTAAGCGGGGAAGAGCGCCGGTAACGTCGATGCTCCACACTTCCAAGCATGCGGATCGTCAATATCGCAGCCGGCTTCGCTTGAGCAAGCGAAGCCGGCTGTGATAATGACGATCCACGTGCCTGTAAGGGCGGAGCGACAACGTCATGTACAGTCTGGACGCAGTCAAACATGAACAATAGACCGATGGGTTTTCAGTGCACTGCTGTCTCTACGCCAAAGCTTGGCACCCGCCAGGCTGGGGTCTAACATATTGCCACGAGCGCAGCTGGCCAAGTATGCAGCGCGTCCGTGGCCGAGCGGTTATCGTGCTTGGCTTCCACGCTGGAGGGCCGAGGTTTGATGCCTGGCTGCGGATGCACCTTCTTGTTGTTTCTGTAAATGACGCGTTCTGGCGAATTCGCGAACCCTGTCGCTTATCGGAGGTTCGAACGTTCTATGCGACAAACCTTCTGCGGCAATTATTCCAGAAGCCCCTGCGTGTACATAAGGGGCTCTGCGTGGCGAGCCGGAGTAGTCTCGCCGCAGCGCTCGTTCCTGCTGTTTCACAGACATTGATGCCTGCGACGCTAACCTTCTATTTTGTTTTGGGCAAAAGTTCACTCCATAACACGTTTCGTTTCTCCAGTTATTATCCCCTTCATTATTTGTCATTTCGATCAATATCCTACACTGATGTGTTAGGCCCTCACTCGGCAGTAGGCGCATCCCAAGCTTCATCATAGTGCCGACGGTGCAATGAAAACCACTGGCCTACTTTTAGCGTTTTATTGCAAACATAATGTGGGAGCAGTGGTCGAAACTGATATTGGAGCCGTCTACTCTATGGAGGGCAAGTTCGTCTGCTTCTTGCGCAGGGGGTAGCGGTGATGTCAGAACGCCGAGCCCTGATTGGCTGATAGCGACCCTTTATCTGAGCATAGTCTGCTCCTTTGCAACGTCGTCTGCTCCTTTGCAACGTCGTCTGCATCTGTCTTACCTTTCCTGTGACTTTCGGAAGTGCAGGTCTTTACGAGCGAGCTCGACTTCGCCTTTCAGAGAGGGCAGACGAAATAACTCAAGCGGTACATTGTTTTTGTCTAGCAACTAGCAAACACGCATCAAGGAGAGAAGTTGAAGGACTCACTGGCGACGAGGCGTCCCGAGGCGCCGAGGTTTGTTTATTAAGAACCAAGAGTGAGGGTGTCTAGTGTGCGCAAGTTCTCTTCCAAATACTTTTTCCCGCCTTTCGTGTGCGGCGAGACTCCACACAGCGGTGAATCTCCGACAGACGCAGGAAAGGTAAAGCAGCCATCGCTTTAACTAGCAGACGTAAAGCAGATGACGTTAACTGCGCCAACCATGCCAACCCTGTCAAAGAGTGAGGAGTCTCGCCGCACACAAAAGAAGGGAAAAAGTATTTGGGAGGGAACTTGCAGACACTAACCACCCTCACTCTCGGTACTTAGCAAACAAACCTCGGCGCCTCGGGACACCTCGTCAGGGAGTCCTTTGACTTCTCTCCTTGATGCACGTCTGCTAGTTGTTAGACAAAAGCAACGTACCACTCGAGTTATTTTTTTCTGCCCTCTCTGAAAGACGAAGTTGAGCTCGCTCGTAAAGACCTGTACTTCCGAAAGTCGCAGGAAAGGTAAGACAGATGCAGACGACACTCGGATAGGGGGTCGCAATCAGCCAATCGGGGCTCAGCGTTCTGATGTCACCACTACCCCCTGCGCAAGAAGCAGACAAACTTGCCCTCTGCATTAAAAGCGATGCTGCAGAGGATAAAGCGAATCTTCCCCACTCCCCAATAGTTATCACCATGACCCCCCCCCCCCCGTCTTTGTCGACCTAATTTTTAGTTTGTAGTCGCTGTTCCATTTCAAATTTGATTATGACTTTTTGTGTTTGTTCTAAAATCACTGACAGGGTTTACGAATCAGAAGTTTATTGTATTGCTCTTAGGAGTAGTGCCTTATTAACCACGTATGACGTGTACCTAGATGGTCCAACGCATTTCCCATGTGGGCTGCCTTATGCCAATGATTGTGGAGCTTCTCTGATAAGCACAAACCTAATCTAAGCATCAAAAAAAGCACACAAGCATGAAGATGTATTTCTGTTATTGCTTTACAATGTATCAGTCATCAGATTAAAAGTGGGAGTGTAACAAAAAAAAACAGCGCCTTGAGTGGCCAGGTTGTGCTGGCAGATGATGCATGCAGTCTCTCCAGCCGCTGCTCGCACATTATATTTAACAGTTGAGCATACTGTACCTAGTGACTCATGCTCCTGTGTTGGAGGTGGTTCAGCGATGTCACGTTCAGGGTTGTCGTCCGTTCTGGGACTGCTTGCAGCATCTAAAGTAAGCAACAATAGGAGTTGTGAGACGAGATAGAATATGCACACCTGTGTTCCGAGATTTAATAACCTACTACCATGTAATTAAAGAATGGACACACAAATGGAGCATCGGAAGCAGATACAGCAAACAACCAATAGACCGATCTCACCAGCTGTTCTGCGCATGCTTGGCAGCACCATAAATGTAGTTCACAGGGGCCAGACGGCAGTGCACGAGACTGCACATACCGTTCCAAGCTCTGCTTGCGCAGGCCCACAGCAGTGTTTTTGTGGATCATGGCAGCGATGGTGTGGCGAAACTGACCAATGAGATTAGTGTATTAAAGGGGAGGTAGAGCAGTTCTGTATTTGATCAGAAACACAAATTGCATTCATTTGGCCTTCAGACCAATAAAGATAACAATTATGTTTCGACTCAACGTGCCGGAGGGCCATAAGAGCGATTTCAAAACAGAGCTGAAACCATGCCCTTCTGGCATTCGGCAGCCTGAAGCCTCATTCACACAGCCGTTTTTTCTCGCGGCCCGGCGAAAACGCCGGCAGTCTTTTGCGCCGGGGGAGAGGATGTTGGCACCGGTTTCCGGCCGAAATCGGGGCGCCAGCCCCGAAAAGGGCCCTATGAGGATGTTCAACATCCCCGGCACCGGCGAGAGAGCGGGAACGCCGGTGCCCCGCCCCATCGAGGGGCGGCCAATCACAAAATAGGAAAGTTTCGCTAAATTTGGCAGATTCGCAAAAGATGGGTGATCATGGGCACGGCCGTGGGAGGGAGAGTTGACCGTATTGTGCCCTAACGCCCTAACTGCCCTAACGACGAAGCCAACAAAGCTCTTTTCGGGAAGGATGGAGGCCAGCGAGACGACGGGCGCATTGTGTGATGTTTACGGTTCTTAAACAACGTGCATACAGAGATTTGGATTTACCGCTGAGCTGCTGCTCGAAATGGTGAGACCACATCGATTCCTTTGCAATAGACCTAAATGTGATTTTAAGGAAGAACAGCTGAAGAAACAAAATACGGTCGTCGATCATCGAGGACGAAATGCGTCGCAAGGAGTGACTGATGTGAAATGTGCTCGCGGTGGGTGTTGTCGTTTTGGTTTCAAAACGTGGAGACAAATAAAATGTATTGAAACATGCAAGATCGTTATCGGCGAGCCAAACGCAAGCTCTGAGGAACAAAACAATTGTGGCTGCGCCCGTCGACGCCGATCGTCCGCTACATTTGGTGGTCCTCGCTGCCACAAAGTAGCTACAACTACAGGATTACAAGATTCGTAATAGAGATGGAGGGAAGTGTGTAATTGCGCACGAAATAATAGGTTATATCGGTTATACAGTTTTACGGGATACAAACGTTCGAAGCAAAATTTAAAAGGTGCACGAAGATGTCTAAGCTAGGTGACGCAAGCTACCGCCCAATATAAGGGGGCACAGCCGCCAGCATCGCCGGCAGCTCCGCCGCCGCCGCTGGTTCGAACACTCCTTTGTCCCCGCACCGTCCCGTTTTCGGCACGGCGCCCACGGCGCTTTCGCCGGGATGGGGCGAAACGCCGGCTGTGTGAATGAGGCCTAACGCTCCGTCGATGACGTCACATACAGTGACTCTTTTTTGTGTCGTCTCACGCTAAACAATGCCTGCGAAGCAAATGGTTTGGTTATTTGGGTTTACAGGGTAAAAATTGCTAAAATTTGCCTCAAGCTTATTTTTTTTAAGAACCTCCGTAGCTTCTCTTTAAAACTGCTGTGCGTTGTCAGTTCTGAGCTCAGTACCTGGCGCTGCGTGGTCCTCTGTTAGGGGTGTGTCACCTTCGTAGCTTTGGCTCTCTGGAATCCTTGCAGCTTTTAAATTAAGCAACAAGAAAAGTTGTGAGACAAGATAGAAAATCTACACCTGTGTTTTACATTTCCTAATCTAGTACCATGTAATTAAGGGACGTTCCCTTAAATCAGCGATGCTGCAGAGGATAAAGCGGCCTTTCCCGAGATTGTCGGCACTCCCCTATAGTTATCACATGACCTTCCCGTCTTTGTCAACCTCATTTTTAGTTTTTATTCGCTGCTCCATTTCGAATTTGATCACGACTTTTCGTGCTTGTTCTAAAATCAGTGACAAAGTTTACGAATCAGAAGTTTATTTAATCGCTCTCAGGAGTAGTTCCTTATGAACCACGTATGACGAGTGCCTAGATCAGGGGTGGCCAAGCTAAACCGGCCTGAGTGCCGCAAACAAAACCGCGAAACTTCCAAAAGCTGCAAGGGGGGGGGGGGGTCAAACTTTTGTCCAGAGCAATAAACAAAAGTCTAACTACTTCCAGTCTATCCAAATCAAAAGCAGTCCAACTGGATGTAAGATAGCTGTAGCACAAGACTAACAAACCGCAACCTGTTTTTCGATTTAAAACGTGTTCCGTTTCTTCTCTTGGGGAAGTGCTCGTGTGACCGCGGGGGAGGGGGGAAAGAGTGTGTGTGTGCGTGTGGGGGGGTGTTAGGCGAGGGAGCCGCGAGCCGCACTATAACACGCAAAGAGCCGCATGCGGCTCGCGAGCTGCAACTTGGCCACCCCTGGCCTAGATGGTACAGAGTTTCACATGTGGGTTGCCTTATGCCGATGATTGTGGAGCTTCTCTGATAAGCACAAACCTAATCTAAGCATCAAAAAAACATACAAGCCTGAAGATGTTTTTCTGTTATTGCTCTACAATGTATCGGTCATCAGATTAAAAGTGGGAGTGTAACAAAAAAAAAAAAAGAGCGCCGTGAGTGGCCAGGCTGTGCTGGCAGATGATGCATGCAGTCTCTCCAGCCGCTGCTCGCATATTACAGTTAACAGTTGAGCATACTGTACCTAGTGCCTCATGCTCCTGTGTTGGAGGTGGTTCAGCGATGTCATGTTCGGGGTCGCTGTCCGTTCTGGGACTGCTTGCAGCATCTAAAGTAAGCAACAATAGGAGTTGTGAGACGAGATAAAATATGCACACCTGTGTTCCGAGATTTAATAACCTACTACCATGTAATTAAAGAATGGCCCCACAAATGGTGCATCGGAAGCAGATACAGCAAACAACCAATAGACCGATCTCACCAGCTGTTCTGTGCATGCTTGGCAGCACCATAAATGTAGTTCACAGGGGCCAGACGGCAGTGCACAAGACTGCACGTACCGTTCCAAGCTCTGCTTGCGCAGGCCCACAGCAGTGTTTTTGTGGATCATGGCAGCGATGGTGTGGCAAAACTGACCAATGAGATTAGTGTATTAAAGGGGAGGTAGAGCAGTTCTGTATTTGATCAGAAACACAAATTGCATTCATTTGGCCTTCAGACCAATAAAGATAACAATTATGTTTCAACTCAACGTGCCGGAGGGCCATAAGAGTGATTTCAAAACAGAGCTGAAACCATGCCCTTCTGGCATTCGGTAGCCTAATGCTCCGACGATGACGTCACATACAGTGACTCTTTTTCGTGTCGTCTCGCGCAAAACAACGCCTGCGAAGCAAATGGTTTGGATATTCGGGTTGACAGGGTAAAAATTGCTAAAATTTGCCTCAATCTTATTTTTTTCAAGAGCCTCCGTAGCTTCTCTTTAAAACTGCTGTGCGCTGTCAGTTCTGAGCTATGTTCAGTACCTGGTGCTGTGTGGTCCTCCGTTAGGGGTGTGTCACCTTCGGAGCTTTGGGTCTCTGGACTGCTTGCAGCTTCTAAAGTAAGCAACAAGAAAAGTTGTGAGACAAGACAGAAGATCCACACCTGTGTTTTGCATTTCCTAATCTAGTACCATGTAATTAAGGGATGTTCCCACAAATAGGGCACCAAAAGCAGGCACAGCAAACAGCCCAATTGACGTGTGTGCTGTAAGTCATGAGCTTATGTTGTGTACTACAGTGGACAAACGTCCCCAGGACACACCTGCAGGGACTCAATCGCGTCACTTTGCCACCTGCTTGTGGCTCACCTGGTTTCGAGACCACAGAAGAGCGCATGCAAATCCTGCTGTGCCTGCAGAGATGTGTGTTTATCTGCTCTTCTGCGATGTAGTACTTGTCGCAGTATCTGGCACGAGGCACCACTTTGGCAGTCGCAGGTGATGGACGCCTGCCTCGGATGCAGCCACTAGAGAACGCTTGCGGCTCTGCGGCTCAAATTGCTGGCCGATAACGAGCCTGGCTTTTGAATTCGGTAATTCAATGTTCCTCTTCATACTGTGATTATAAGGGCACACTCGATGATATGGCACCAATGAATACAAGTCACGCCAGTCAACTGAGCAAGGAGCTCATTTCGTTTGAAAGCCGAGGTGGCTGATCGAGCAATATGCACGGCAAAGCTAAAAGCGCTATCTTCAATCATGGCACCTCACGCCAGTATCTGCGGCAAGCATTGAGAGACGAACAGTGGAAAAACACGCGCCTGCGAGCACAGTAGGACGTGCAAGCGCTCTTCTATGGTCTCAAAACCAGACAAGCCATTGGCAGACGGCAAAGCGGTGTGCTTTTGTCACCACTCACATGTCCTGGGGACCTTGGTCCACGATAGTACCTGATGCTGTATGCTCTTGTGTTGGGGATATGGCAGTTTTGGAGTTCCGTGCTGTCCTAGCAGTGTTTTGCACCACTAAAGTAAGTAACAAGAAGAGTTGTGGGATAAGATAGAAGGTGCACACCTGTGCTTGAGATTTCATAACCTAGTACCATTTAATTAAAGATGTTCACACAAATAGGGCGCCGCCAAAAGTAGGCACAGCAAACAGCCAATTGACGTGTGCACTGTAATTCCTGAGCTTATGCTATTTACCTGGCGCTGTGTGGTCTTGTGATAGGGGTATGACACCTTCCGAGCCTTGTTCTGTCTCGGGACTGCTTGCAGCTTCGAAAGTATGCAACAAGAAGAGTTGTGAGATAATGCACACCTGTTTTCGAGGTTTCATAACCTACTACCATGTAATTAGAGATGTTTACACAAATAGGGCACCAAAAGCAGGCACAGCAAACAACCAATTGGCTGTGAGCTCCTGTGTTACGGGTATTGTATGTCTAATGTCTCAGCCTGTTCTGGGACTGCTTTCAGTGTCTAAAGTAAGCAAAACGAAGGGTTGTGAGACAAGATAGAGGTTGCACACCTGTGTTCGACATTTCCTAATCCACTACCATGTAATTTAGAGATGTTCGCACAAATTAGGCACTCAAAGCGGTTAGCTACGAAAAGTAGCTGATTAAGCACAGGCTTACGTTCTGCAGTTGGCACTGGTTGAGGAGACGTCTCCTGTGCCTGAGGAGCAGGAGAGTGACCTGCTGCTGCAAAACCAGCAGCATCTGAAATTACCAACAGTCGACTTATCGGATGTTTTAGTTCCGTCCGATACTGTGCAAGAATGAGCATCCATACAGCATATCACACGACTAGCCTAAACACGTGCGAGCAGTGGCGTCACTAGGGTTAATGGCACACCACACCACGACACGACACGACACGACACGACCCGAACCCTCCTCCCTCCCTCTCTCTCTCCCCCCCCCCCCCCCCCCCCCCCCCCCGCCCGCCCGCCCGCTTGGCCCACCGCGACCCCCCCCTTGTGACGCCACTCCGTGCGAGACTGTCATAAATGGTTGGCGCCGCCACTGCTGACAGACAAGCTCTACTGGATTATTTTACTCACTGCTTAGAATCGCTGCTGGCACCGCTTGCAAGAGGGGAACATGGCGAACCGAGCTACTCCGGCGACGTTTCGCCCGCTCGTATCTGTCAACGCTGTTCCCTATTTTCCGAACTTTACTTTAAAAGTCGTCATGTGCCGAACTTTGCCGAATCTGAAGTCTGAAGCATCTGAAGTTCGGCAAACCTATTGAACTATTAATGGTGGAGTGTGTTATCACCACCACGTGCATTGCTCCGGTGGTGCGGGTCCGCAGCCTCCACAGTTCGCCAAGTTATCATTCCAACTTTGTGTTTGACGAGTTTAGACCCTACACCAAACCTACACCAAACGTTCTGCCGAAACCAGCGACCGAAACGCCGAACCTGGCCGAAACCTGAAGCAGCCGAAGAGGCCGAAAATTCGTCACCAAAGGTTCGGAAATTTGCGAAACAGAGGCGACAGAGGCGTGCCGGCGTGCAGCGGTGCAGCATCGCGTCAGTCACGTGCTGTGCTGCCGGCAGCAACAGGCGGCTGGCCGCCGACGAAGGGGGACGGCGTCGCGTCAGCTTACATCAGCTGGCTCTCGGTCATTCGCAGTGTGCAGGGCCAGGAGGTAGTGATGGCAGCTGATGTGGCCCCCGTGGCCATCGTGAGCGTCTTCTGGGTCATCGTGGGCGCCATCGTGCCTTGGTTCATTCCGAAAGGCTCGCAGCGCGGGTAAGAAGCGGGCGCCCCGAATGCCGCCGGCGTTCCGTGACGCCCTTCCGCTTGCAGGATCATCCAGGCCATGCTGGTCATCACGTCGATCTCCTGCTACATGTTGTGAGTAGCCGCCGTAGTCCCCATGGCGCAGACAGGCACGCAATCGGTGGTCCACCTTTGCAGCTGGCTGTGCACCTACATGTCTCAGATGTACCCGTTGGTGGGGCCCAGCCTGAACAATCACACAGTGGTGGCCATCGAAGCTTACTGGAAGTAAACCGCCAGGTGAGTACGCACGGGCGGTACGGGAGGGAGTACGGCACTCGCTCTGTGCTCAAAGAAACAGAAGCGCACACGGGGGGCGCCTGCCCCAGCTCGGGAGCTCTCTGCCCGCGCGCGCTCTTATAGCTTTGTGGCATTTCAGAAGAGAGCGCGTGCACAGCTTTGATCAGCGCGCTCTAGTTGCGCGAGCGCACGGGCGTCCGTAGTTTGGTTGCCACAGGAAGTCAGAACTTGCACGCGGTCTCGTGACTTGTTGCGCCATTAAGGCCACCCAAAGCCGCCACCCAAAGGGAGCTCCCGTAGATAATCTTGGCTGTTGCGGTCAGCGATAGCTCCGGAATCGCCTGGCTTATCAAGTTATTATTTCCAGCCGTACGCTCATTGACTGCGGAGTGATGGGCCACAGCAGTGAGCTGCAGCTAGTGAAAGCAAAATGTATAGATCGCGAGGCCCATTCACGGGTCCCTATCGTTTCGTCGAAACTCCTTTCGTGGAATTAACGTTTCGTGGACAACTTTTCATGGACACGCGTTTCGTCGACACGAACGTTTCATCGACACGCGTTACGCAAATTGCGCGCTGTAGGGACGTTTCGTCACGCGTGTATCCGTGTATCACGGGTGCGCGTCAGAGGGAGGCGACGGAAGCGAGCGAAAAAAACGGGCATGTCTGCGAACACGAGAGGAAGCGCATGCATACGTTTCCTATCTGCGGACTGTACTGTTGCGGACAATATGAGCTGAAACAGCGCTCTGGCCTGTGCACGGTACTACCTGCGGCGCCTGTTGCATCGCTCCGCAAACACGGCGCACCCTGAGGCAGAGATAAATTCTCACTTGCGCTCACTGCACCGTTGCGCTCTTCCGGCCGTCTGCTAGCGAAAATATTGGCCGACGGAACCACCATCACGATGCGTATGCCGTGCAGCCCAATGTTCACGTTTTCAGCTTACATGCATTTCAGTGCATTTCAAGAAAGCGCCGAAGTGGAAAATGTGTTGTTTGACGCTGCCTTGGCCCCAAGACGCTGTTTGACGAAGCTGCCTTGGCCCCAAGACGAGCCGATCGAAATATCATCGAAAACGTTTGGAGGCAAATCAAGGTTGCCATGTCACGGCGTCCCCTCCACAGCGCCACTGCTGATGAATTGTGGGAAGCAATGAGAGGTGAATGGGAGAGGCTTTGGGCCGAACCAGACTTCGTGGCCGCGCTCTATGGTTCCTTACCAGACAGGATGAGAGCCGTGGTCGCGGGTCAGGGGAGAGTGACGCGGTATTATATACTTTTGTAAGTTTTACTGCCCCTCAGGACCCCCTGAACCGGACTTCTGCCGATTGGAACAAAACTTGCTGCTACGGTTGCGACACACTGACGCTAACCAGCGCATACTTTTGTGTGCTGCATCCTTGATCCCAATCTTCTTGTATCATGCCGTTGAACTTCCACGCCGACTATTAATCTGTTGTGTTTGACATTTTCCTCTGCGAATATTCTTTCGATGAAGTTTAAGCTTCTTCTCCTGGCAAATATGACTGTTATCCCACTTTATTAAGACAAGGAATTTGTAAATAAATGACTGGTGTCTTGTCAGCAACTTGTTTTGTTTGAAACAAACATGTGGGCCCAGTAATAAATATTATTTTTAAACCTTTTCATACCAATCAAGGTCACAAAACCTTTGCAGTATGATTACCGTTTTTTTTTTAAACAGCTGTGATCAATGAAACAAAAAAAAAACCTTGGAGCCGGACTACATCCGGTATACAGATTTTGGCCTAAATTTTACGATGTTCTACTTTGTTCATGCACTTAATAAAAAAAAAATCTTTTGATGCAACTTTAAAAAACAATAATCGCATCTGCAATTTAAGATACTTCAACATATCTTCTTCACCAGTCAGCGTTTTCTACATGATTCTACGTGAGGGACGACAAGTGTAATCTTATTCCCCCCTACCCTACCACACACGCCCGCTGTCGCACCCGCCGTCTCACTAGCAGACGGTTGGAAGAGCGCAAGTGATAATTTATCTCGGCTTCAGGGTGTGCCGTGTGTGCAAAGCAAGGCGGCGCAGGTACTACCGTGCGCCGGCCATTGCGCTGTTTCAACTCGTATTGTCTGCGATAGTACATTTGACCTCGCCAAGAGCACCAAGCCTTCGATCTAGTAAAATGCGGTTCCAGGGTCACCACATAGATGGCGCCGTGTATTTGGTCAACCATTTCAAAGGTGCGACGAGTGGCTCGTCGCAACTTTGAAATGGCTCACCAACTACACGCTGTATAAATATCCACACAATCCCTATTACGTAGATGGCGCTAGCGTGCCAGTGTGTTCTCTCGTCGTTTGAGATTTCAAGAGGTTTTAAGGCAGTCGGTTCTAAGCCGCAAGTGTGCGAGCGGATCTATAGCCGTGCACGACTGGTTTTGGGAACTCTGGCTTTGTTTCCAACAGATTATTGTGTTTTGTGTGTCTTTTTATAGGAGACCAACGAAGCAGCATGTGCACTGACTGCCATGTTTTATTGTCCGATAAAGCTGATAATAGCACTCTGAAACCAAAGACAAAACGAAACCATAACATATTGTAACATCCTCTTTTCTTTGAGGGAAAGAAGACAGTCCCAACTATGACACTACAAAGTTACTGAGGTGTCGCGGTAACAGCTTCTTCCCAACAGGTCAGAGTGTGCACTCTACCAATGGTTCTTGTGAGCTGTCCTTCCAAGTGTCCACTGTCTTTGGTGATTGATTGCTCGCAGAATCATGCAGCGTGACTGGTGCTGGCTCTGATGCTGTATCAGCAGTGTCTGTGCCAGTAGTTATCGCTTGCATAGTTGTTGGGTTTCTCACTGGGCTTGCTGCCGTTTGGGCAGGCGCAGGAACTTGTCGTAGATGTACCGTTTTTATTTTTATTTATTTATTTGAAATACTATCGGTCCTACACAGGACCAAGATAGGAGTGGATTTTGCACAACACAAAAAAATACATGCGCTTAAAATGCACAGATTAATAACACATATTCAACACAACGATGAAATGACAACTCTAGGTACTGCTGTCAGAAATCTCTGAAATAAGGGAACTCAACTCTTCTCGAGTTTCAGCGGTCACGACATGTGCCGGTAGCTTGTTCCATTCTCGCGCTGTTTGCAAGAAGAACGAATACCTAAAACAGTCCTTGGAAAACTGCTCTTCCACATACCGAGCATGCTTGTTGCGGGTTATACGCGACATGCTCTCATTAATATACTGTTGCTTATTTACTAGAACCAAGTTATTCATTATGTTATAAAAAAGGTTAAGCCGCTTCTGCTTCTTCCGCACTTGGAGGGGTAGATTTGCCCTTTTATAAAGAGGTGACACAGAGTCCAGCCGTCTATAGCAAGAAAAAACAAAACGTAATGCACGCCGTTGAACTTGCTCCAGATTTGATATAAGATATTTAACATGCGGGTCCCCAGACTTCACGTGCGTATTCTAATAAAGGCCTTATTAGCATCTTGTATGCTGCGAGTTTTCTTTCTGAGGAAGCGAGTTTAAAAGAGCCCCCGATGTATCCTAATCTTTTATTAGCTTTTCCGATTATATTGCTAACGTGCAGTGTCCAACTTAGGTTTGAGGCTACTGTAAGACCAAGGTATCTAAACTCTGACACTCGGCTTAATGCTTTTCCGTGCAGCATATACACATATTCTAATGGCTGTCGTTTATGAGTGATCGTCATACATACTGTCTTGTCTAAGTTAATCGACATTTGCCACTTTACACACCATTCCTTCTTAATGTTTTGCCATGGATTTTTATGTTGTACGATCTGGATGTCACAGGTGCCATGACTGTACCTTTTTCCCATCGTGATCCAGGGGTGAACGGTTGAACTCTGACGGTGTCCCCTTTTTTCAGAGTTAGGAGTTCTCTCGCAGTCTTGTTGTAGTAGTCTTGCACCCGTCTTGTCTTGTTCTTCCACTCTGTTCGTTGGTTTAGAGTGCGTGGCTTCAAGAGTGCATTTGTTGACAGTAGTGTGGTCAGAGTCCTGCCCATCATTAGTTGTGCTGGGCTTGCCTTTCTGCTGTGGCATGGGGTATTGCGGCGATCCAGAAAAGACAACTGTGGATTGTGACCACTCTCTAGGGCCTTCTTGAGAAGCGGCTTTGCAGTCTTGAAGGCCGATTCACCATTCTGTTAGATTGGGCATGACCTGGACCTGAGGTATTGTGTATAAACTGCCACTGAGTAGCAAACTCTGCAAATCGAGCACTGGCGAACTGAGGACCGTTGTCGCTGATGAGCATTGCAGGTATGCCACACCTGGCAGAGTGTGCTTTGAGTTTCCGGATGACTGCAGAAGCTGTGGTTGAAGTCAGTTCATCCACCTCCCCGAAGTTACTGAAGTAATCGACTGTCACGAGGAAGTTTCGATTCGTGTATTTCATGATGTCGGTGCCGACTCTCTCCCATGGATACGCTGGCTGCGGGTGAGGCGTCAAAGGTTCCTTCGGTTGCGCGTGGCTGTGCCTCTGGCACACCTCACAGGACAGGTTGAAATCTTTGATTTCAGAGTTCATTCCGTGCCAGAAGACGCACTCCTTTGCCCTTCGAAGGCAGCTTTCTATCTCCAGGTGCGACGCATGGAGGGTTTGCTTTATGTCAGCACGCATACTCGAAGGTATGAATGCTGTCTGTCCCTTATAGACCACATCGTCCTCAACTGCAAGTTCGTTCACAGAAGTTGAAGTATGCTGAGGTTCTTTCCGGGAGACTCGACTTCTCTTTTGACCATCCTTTCAGGGTTAATTGTTAGGTTTTGCAGCAGTTGGTCACTTGGGGACTGTTCCTTGATTGTCTCAAGGGTTGTAGGCTTTATGCGCTGACGACAGACAACATTGAGTTCCTCTGCAGGTGAGTCACATTGTGTGTCTTTCAAGTAGGCTCTTGACATCGCATCTGCCACAGCTAGTTTTTTTCTTGGCAGTACTTGACTGTGAAGTCTTATCTCTGCA